TTGATAGGTACATATATTTACAACTTCTCTCATTATTTAACATCATTTTTCTTCTACAAAACAACATATCATAAAATTTACAATAAACTTAAATGTATATGACAAAAAAATAGAATAAGTCAGTGAAAAGAAAGCCAAAAAGTATTCAAATACTATCAATGGAAAAGTAAGTGTAAAATATTGCATTAGAAACTACACATGGGACTTTGAAGTCAGTCCAATGTGAATCCTAATTGGAATTAGGTCCACTCTTTGGACCTTTAACTATATGGCAAAATATTTTATGGATGGATGGCGGGACTTCTGAAATATTGCCTTCAGAGATTCCTTCACTATTTATTTTTTTTGCCAAAAGCCTTAAGTTTTGAGGACATTTCAGCCCAAATATCATGAGCGAGACTTTTCAATCTGAAGATTTACAACATATTTACTCTATTCGAATCAGTATATAAAGAAGATGGACAAAAATACTTATTATTGCACAACATAACCCTGTAGAAGCAAATCTTAAAAAAAATCACTCTAATGAACATTTCTTATCCCAAGGAAATAAATGTGTGGTCTAGAACAAATGGTTAATATTAAACAATAATGTTAGAATTTTTTGAAAGGAACATATATAACTATAATATATGTTAGTTTTACCCAATAAATATAAGTATATTTGGCACATTTTTCATTTTAATATTTGATAATAATTTCGATGAATTACACAAGCATTGTAATAAATTAAGCATCTGCTCTTCATCCAAAATGTGATGGTCACTTGCTTTCATTTCGTATAAATTTTAAAAGAACAGCATTCCATTATATATAAAATTTTGGCAGATATGCCTTTTTACCACTCCGCAATTTATTCTTGAACAGCCCTAAGCAAAATGTTAGCAAATCAAAAACTACTTTCAAATTTAAAAAAAAAAATTATATACGATTTTACTTAAATGTTTGTCAATAGTAATTTAAGTAGAGAAATAAATATTTACAGTGGAAATGTGCATTATATGCAAGTGTGGGTTATACATTTACTAACTATAATAAAAAATTTTTCTTTTCCCCTATTTCTGACACAATTCATCTTTTCTTCAATAGCCAACAAAGTAAACAAATGAAATTATGAACAAATTGATGTAAGGGCTATTCCAGGTAAAAAAATGAATGGAAGGGTTGGACACCAGATGATTTTTTTTCTGTGGATGCTAGGTAATGTTTCTACAGTTAGATGTTGCAAATGAAAACAAAAGTAATGGCGGTGGGGTATAAAGCAAATTTTTGCCCCCCTCCCCCCTTACATTTTTACCTGAAATATCCCCAAATAAATAAAATCATTTCCTGAAATCTAAGTAAGTAAACTCAAAGTTGCAAATTAAAGTTTAAATTAATTATTGGTGATTCTGTCAGGTTCTGTATATCTCCAGTTTGGGTTCGATCTAGATCTGGCAATATAACTCAATTGAGCTTTAAAAAATTATCTCCCTTTGAAAAATTTCCATGAAATTTCTATTTCTCATTTATTATTTGGAATTGCAATCTAAATCTTTACAGATATTTGAAAAGAAACAGAGTTGAATATTTCTGTGTAAAAATTTCAACCATTATCCATTGTTTTGAGGAATATTTTTTTCACAGTAAAATTTATAAAAAACTAGAGGCTCTCGAGAGCCTGTGTCGCTCACCTGACTCTACTTTGGTTTTAGAAATCATGTAAAGATAGATAAAAATCATAACAGATACCCAAATAATGATTGAGGCCAAATTTTAATTAATATTGGTCTCGTTATTTAATAAAATATCCTGGTGGCCATCTTGAACAGTAAATCAGCAACAAAGTAGCAACACTTGGTCAGCACTTCATAAGGAACATTCATGCCATGTTTGGTTTCATTCCATTCAGTGGTACTCTAAAAGAAGACATTTGTATGTATTTCCCGTAGGGTCCTATGTTAAACTAAGCCCCCCGCTGGCGGCCATCTTGGATGATGGATCGGCTACAAAGTAACAACACTTGGTCAGCATCTCATAAGGAACATTCATGCCATGTTTGGTTTCATTCCATTCAGTGGTTCTCTAAAAGAAGACATTTGTATGTATTTCCCATAGGTCCTTTGTTAAACTAAGTCCCCTGCTGTCGGCCATCTTGGATGATGGACCGACTGCAAAGTAACAACACTTGGTCAGCACCTCATAAGGAACATTCATGCCATGTTTGGTTTCATTCCATTCAGTGGTTCTCTAAAAGAAGACATTTGTATGTATTTCCCATAGGGTCCTATGTTAAACTAAGTCCCCCGCTGGCGGCCATCTTGGATGATGGATCGGCTACAAAGTAACAAGACTTGGTCAGAACCTCATAAGGAACATTCATGCCATGTTTGGTTTCATTCCATTCAGTGGTTCTCTAAAAGAAGACATTTGTATGTATTTCCCATAGGGTCCTATGTTAAACTAAGTCCCCCGCTGGCGGCCATCTTGGATGATGGACCGCCTGCAAAGTAACAACACTTGGTCAGCATCTCATAAGGAACATTCATGCCATGTTTGGTTCCATTCCATTCAGTGGTTCTCTAAAAGAAGACATTTTTATGTATTTCCCATAGGGTCCTATGTTAAACTAAGTCCCCCGCTGGCGGCCATCTTGGATGATGGATCGGCTACAAAGTAACAACACTTGGTCAGCACCACATAAGGAACATTCATGCCATGTTTGGTTTCATTCCATTCAGTGGTTCTCTAAAAGAAGTCATTTGTATGCATTTCCCATAGGGTCCTATGTTAAACTAAGTCCCCGGCTGGCGGCCATCTTGGATGATGGACCAACTGCAAAGTAACAACACTTGGTCAGCATCTCATAAGAAACATTCATGCCATGTTTGGTTCCATTCCATTCAGTGGTTCTCTAAAAGAAGACATTTTTATGTATTTCCCATAGGGTCCTATGTTAAACTAAGTCCCCCGCTGGCGGCCATCTTGGATGATGGATCGGCTACAAAGTAACAACACTTGGTCAGCACCACATAAGGAACATTCATGCCATGTTTGGTTTCATTCCATTCAGTGGTTCTCTAAAAGAAGACATTTGTATGTATTTCCCACAGGGTCCTATGTTAAACTAAGTCCCCCGATGGCGGCCATCTTGGATGATGGACCAACTGCAAAGTAACAACACTTGGTCAGCATCTCATAAGAAACATTCATGCCATGTTTGGTTCCATTCCATTCAGTGGTTCTCTAAAAGAAGACATTTTTATGTATTTCCCATAGGGTCCTATGTTAAACTTAGTCCCCCGCTGGCGGCCATCTTGGATGATGGATCGGCTACAAAGTAACAACACTTGGTCAGCACCTCATAAGGAACATTCATGCCATGTTTGGTTTCATTCCATTCAGTGGTTCTCTAAAAGAAGTCATTTGTATGCATTTCCCATAAGGTCCTATGTTAAACTAAGTCCCCGGCTGGCAGCCATCTTGGATGATGGATCGGCTACAAAGTAACAACACTTGGTGAGCACCTCATAAGGAACATTCATGCCATGTTTGGTTTCATTCCATTCAGTGGTTCTCTCAAAGAAGACATTTGTATGTATTTCCCATAGGGTCCTATGTTAAACTAAGTCCCCCGCTGGCGGCCATCTTGGATGATGGACCGACTGCAAAGTAACAACACTTGGTCAGCATCTCTTAAGAAACATTCATGCCATGTTTGGTTCCATTCCATTCAGTGGTTCTCTAAAAGAAGACATTTGTATGTATTTCCCATAGGGTCCTATGTTAAACTCAGTCCCCCGCTGGCGGCCATCTTGGATGATGGATCGGCTACAAAGTAACAACACTTGGTCAGCACCTCATAAGGAAAATTCATGCCATGTTTGGTTTTATTCCATTCAGTGGTTCTCTAAAAGAAGTCATTTGTATGCATTTCCCATAGGGTCCTATGTTAAACTAAGTCCCCCGCTGGCGGCCATCTTGGATGATGGATCGGCTACAAAGTAACAACACTTGGTGAGCACCTCATAAGGAACATTCATGCCATGTTTGGTTTCATTCCATTCAGTGGTTCTCTAAAAGAAGACATTTGTATGTATTTCCCATAGGGTCCTATGTTAAACTAAGTCCCCCGCTGGCGGCCATCTTGGATGATGGACCGACTGCAAAGTAACAACACTTGGTCAGCATCTCATAAGGAACATTCATGCCATGTTTGGTTTCATTCCATTCAGTGGTTCTCTAAAAGAAGACATTTTTATGTATTTCCCATAGGGTCCTATGTTAAACTAAGTCCCCCGCTGGCGGCCATCTTGGATGATGGATCGGCTACAAAGTAACAACACTTGGTCAGCACCTCATAAGGAACATTCATGCCATGTTTGGTTTCATTCCATTCAGTGGTTCTCTAAAAGAAGTCATTTGTATGCATTTCCCATAGGGTCCTATGTTAAACTAAGTCCCCCGCTGGCGGCCATCTTGGATGATGGATCGGCTACAAAGTAACAACACTTGGTCAGCACCTCATAAGGAACATTCATACCATGTTTGGTTTCATTCCATTCAGTGGTTCTCTAGAAGAAGTTCAAAATGTAAAAAGTTAACGCCGACGACGGACGACGCCGGACGACGGACGACGGACGCCAAGTGATGAGAAAAGCTCACTTGGCCCTTCGGGCCAGGTGAGCTAAAAATGCAAAATTATATTCAGCAGTACTTCTTAGTTATGTCTACAAAGTTTTAGATTGCACTTCCAAATAATAAGTGAGACACTGATATTTTTTTACTTATAATCTATGTAGAGAAAAAAATATTCAAAGTGGAAATGTGCATTTTATGCATGTGCAGGTTATATATTAATTAACTTAACTAATTTATCATAAAATTTCAAAGGGAGATAATTTTGTATAGGCTGATTGAACCTATATAGCAAGATCGAGCTATATTAGCTCAAACTGCAATTCAACAGAACATGTTAGATTTGATTATCTAAAAATAAAGATCAATATCATTTTCTTCATAAAGTGCAGATAAATGACAAACTGCAGATATACAGAACCTGTTTGACAGTTGTCGGCTATTGAAATAATTTTTTTTACATAAATTAAATGCAAGAAATTTTTACTACCATGAACACATTGTCTTAAGACGATTAATGATTTCACAATAGAACTATCACAATGCAAACTATGTATGTATGACCTTTGAGATCTTTACAGAAATCAGAAAGTGTGTATTATATACAATGTTTAGTATGTATTATACAAATGTTCAAATATAAAACTATTACTCATTCAAGTCTAACAGTCATTGTTGTATTTCAAGCATATATTCTTGAGTATGAACAAAGATTAATGAAGTTTAATTTGCTCGTTTACTACATGGAGCATAAAAAAGTGGAGGAAGATACGAGGAGGACATTCAAAACTCACTTATAAGTCAAAAGAAACTGTATGGCAAAAAACAAAAAAAAAGACAGAAAGACCAACAAGTCCACATAACTCTACATAAAAAACATTAAGACTAAGTAATATGAATCCCACTTAAAACCAAGGTGATCAAAGGTGCCCCTTAAGGGTTAAAATACATATGACTTTTATTTAATAACCAATGAAAGAATAATACTATGACATTTATACTGGCCAAACAAATCATTGGGCATATAACAAAAGAATGACTGATTAACAGGTTGACTAGTTTGATTATATATACTGTGGATTCATTTTTTTTCATAATTATCAATTTTCATGGACTGAGAAAAAAATGTGTTTTAGAGGATATTGGGCCAAAATAAAGATATGGTTTGTTTTCCCTCGCCCAACCGACTCATAGAAAGTCCCACCGACCCAAAAGTTTTTATTCTGTTTTTTTTGCGATATTTTTTTTTTATTTCTGGAAAAATTTCGGGGTCGTTTCAGGTATCGATTGTCATTTTCTGTTGACTGGAAGTTTCTAATTTTCCATCGGATTCTATCAAAAGTCAAGAAACGATACAGTCATGGAAATTTACAATATATATATTGAATACTGCTGGAGAAAACAAAAAACTTTTGACTAACCTTCCTACCCTCCTGTGAAATCCAGGGTCGGGAGAGGGGAAACAAACATATTTTTAAATGTGGCCTTGCATTTGGTGGTTTTGGCAAAGTCTGCATATGAGCTTATAAAAATTTGTACTTCACAGAACACTAAAATTTGAGGTCTCATATACCTATGAAATCAATTAAAATTGGTATCCCACCTTTAATAATGAACTCACAGTAATATAAAATCGTGGTTCACAAATAATTAAATGCGCAAAGTTCATACTCAAATGGTTTGGCCCTAATAGACAGAAAAAAAGTTATATAGAGATATAGATTGACAGTAAACTATGTATGCTACCTGATTAAGATGATAGTAACTATAATTATAATGAGCCCTTCAACAATGAGGGTGAAAGTAAAATTTATATCAACTAAATGTTCTGTTTTGACTCAATATTCGTTTAAATTGAGTCAACAAAAAACATTATAATGGAAATACTACAACCTTTATAAGGAACACATCTTCATTTTATAGAAATTAGAGCTTAATACCAGGTTTCTGAAAACTGCCTACCGGTAATTCTTTTCCATTAATGTAAGTCTCGATATCGATCTGTTGAGCTTTGTGGCTGCCTTTTCTTGCGTATGACTGAAGTTTAACTCTGTTAAGCTTGATCATGTAGAACTTGATCTGGACTTTCTATGAGGGACTGTTAGGTGAAACATGTGTCTTCATTAAGCCTTAAGTTTGATTTTATAGAGCTTGAGCTTGAATCCAAGAAGTTCTGTGAGGACAGCAGAAAATGCTGACAATACAACAACTCTGGTTATATTGTATATGACTGGGTTTGCTGTAATCCCTGACACTTTAAATGGACTCTCAAGTTCCTGAAAATGGATCAATATCATTACATGTATTTCTAAAAGTCATATAGAAAAATAACTTCACTCTTCAAAATATTTTTTCAAAAAACAGCATGGGCAATGTTTAATAACTTTTTATCTTGTAATTACGTGTCATATAAATTTCCAGAATTAAAACAAGGAACCAAAATCTTTCTATCTGATCATATTGACAGGACCAAGTGTCTGTATATCCATGATCATTTTAAAAATTATAAGCAGAAATGAAAAAAAAAAAAAAAAAATTAAAATTGTGACTTATCATGAATTTTCAGTAAAAAATACAAAACAATGGACTTGTTGTTTTTCAAGGGCCAAAACTCCTATAAGGAGTCAGTTGACTATTTCCATCATGCTGATCGATTTGTAAATATTATTTTGCTGATAATTTTTCAGCCTCAAAGAGCCAACATTACTATAAAGAATCAATAAATGATTTCAGCCAATAAGACTAATTTAAAGATCTAATTGTGCTGAAATTTTTTGCTACTTACAGTTTCTCTCTATCTCTTTTAGTTTCTGAAACCCTCCCCCCCCCCCCCCCCCCAAAAAAAAAGGTTTTTTTCCAAAACAATCTTTGGCAGGGTCAATTATGAATTCCGCATGATGATTTATCTGTAGATCTAGCCATGTTGATATATTTATAGATCTAATTGTGCTGAACTCTTTTGCTGATTACAATCTCTATCATAATTTCTGCCAGAAATGTAGAAATGAGTAAAATGGTTTTTCAAGGGCAATAACTCTAATAAGAAATTGATTGAATATTTCGGCAATGTTCGACCAATATGTACATCTTATTGTGCTGAACATTTTTGCTGTCTTATCATTTCTCTTAATCTATCATAATTTCTTTAAAAAATGCAAAAATAAATAAAAATTGTCTTTCTAGAGCAATAACTCCTATAAGAGGACAGGTGGACTGATAAATTGGCAGTCTTGATCTTATTGTTCTGGTCCTTTTTACAATTTAAAGTATTTATTACATTGGTAGCAATGAATTACATTGATTTCCCAGTCAAATAAAAACCGATAATTTCACATGTGAAATAAACGTGGTTATTTCACTCTCTGACGTCATACAACAATAGGCGTTGTCAAGACGTTGATAACGTCGGATCAAAACAAATTGTGAATGCGTAGAAAAAAGATATAGTTCCTTACATTTTCTACATTAATTTCATTAAAAAAAGCCATTTGCTAATGTAATAAAAAGAATAACTAATCAAAGAATTCAAATATCGAAAAATATTCAACTCGTGACCGAACAACACTGATAATTAACTCATGCGCTATGGGCATTCGTGAATTAATGTGTTGTTCGGTCACTCGTTGAATATTTTTCTCTATTTGAATTCTTTGATTAGTTATTCTATAATTATCTACCTATAACAGTTTTCAAGATAATAACCAAAATTTGTGAAATTTCCTAAAAAATATTGACCTTTCAGGATCATTAACACAAAATTATGTACCGTAAGTCAGATTTTCTGAAAATTTCTGAACAGACAGTAATTTTGCCTGCTGATCATTTTTAGCCAAGCTGTGATCCAAGGCCTTAGGCTTTCATTTCATACCCAAATATTTTATTCATTTTGAAAGTTACAGCTATGCATCAGAACTATTTTGTTTGAAATATGTACTTCTTGAAAAACTGTTCTTGATTACAGGGCCAAAATTAATGATTCTATACCTACAACAAACCAAACTGCCTTCTTTAACTTACAAAGGTCTCAACCCATATAGAGTTACTGTGGATTCATTATTATTCGTTGGATACCAATTTTCGTGGATTTCGTGGGTACAGGTGAACCACGAATTTAAATGTTCAACGAATTACAAATTTTCCATAGACTTTTATGCAGACATTAGCAAAACCATGAAATTAAATATCCACGAAAGTGTAAGTTTTCCTCAATCCACGAAAATTGGTACCCACGAAAATAAATGAATCCACAGTATACTAAACTATCCATTACCCTAAACCTATATATAACCCTAACCCTAACAATAATTTATAACAACACATCTTACCTTACCATAACCATAGATTAACTCTTACACTAGAGTATAGGGACCCCAAAAGAAAAATAAAAGAAGAATGTGTCTGAGGACACGAATGGTCCCCCTCAAGCTTGCAAACAAAAATGGGATGGATGGAAAGACGGAAGGACAGAGGGTCAAGGATAACACTTAATGACCCCTTCACCTTGCAGCGGGGCATAAAAATGCCAACAATACAAAACCAACCTTCAATAGATCCTCCGCTAGTTTTAGTACATTGTTAGCTACCATCAGTTCCTCTTTTTTGTGAGGCTTCTGTTCCATCTGAAGATACAAGTTAATCTGTTCCGTGATGAGTACAGATAGGTTACGATACTTTTTGTTAATTTTTAGACCAAGCGTAAGAAATCGGAAGAGATAGACACCAAGTGTCATACTCCAGAACAGTAACTCCCAGTTACACAGGAAATCTAAATATGTGTCTGCATCTTTTAATAACTGAAAAATAATTTTAAAAATAAATGCTTTAATTAATATCATAATATGTCAACAATATTTTAATATCATGCTAAAAATTGCGGGTTTTCATAATTTTCTCAGTGGTAAAATTTAATAAAAAACTAGACAAAGTGATGCCCCTGCACTCCACTCTGAAGTAACTGTATTATAACAAAGTCAATGCAGGACTTTTTAAAAAATATTATTGTGTCTGGGAGACACAAATGATGCCCCTGCAGATGCAAAATGTTATTTTGAAATACACAAAGTTGAGCATGGGAGCACATAGGTCTATGGTTCACTGTAGGAGGAGTTATCTGGAAACGCTATGCACCTCTTATGCAAGTATATACAAAAATGACAAAATTCAACTATCTCCCAAAAGAGCAAATATCAATAAAAATCAAAACCCTGACCACATGCACACCTTCAATATATGTACAAACAGCCAGCAAAGTGAAAACTTCTTAGCATTCAAACTATAGGAGGAGTTATCTGGAATTACTTTATACCCATAATGGGACGGACGGACGGACAGGGGTAAAACAATATGACCCCCCAGTTGCGGGGGCATAAAAATTGTAAATGGTTCCACTGTGTCATTCCTGCAATTGCTGCTGTCAGTTTAAAATTGTAATGTTGACTGCCAAAAACAAGTCCATCAATCAGAAAAATAACAAAAAATAAAAAAAATATTATCAAAATTTTGCTTTAGATGTCAAACTTTCATAAAATTCTATGATGGTTTGACAAAGTTTTAATTGCAAAATAAAAGTCCATTTATCAGTAAACAAAAAATTCTTTTTTTTAAATGTTGCTCTGTATATATCATACATAAGCTTCTGTCCAAGTTTCCAAAAGTTGCAGGAAGATTTGAAAAATTTATTGATAGTCTGCAAAACTCAACCTTAGATTTTAATTTATGATAACTGCAAAAAAAAATATTAATCAATGAATTAGGAAAATATCAAGAAAAGGAAAATATTATAAAAAAAAATTGCTGTGGAAACTGTCTTTTGATCACATAAATGCTTCTGTCCAAGTTTCATACACTTCCATGGATTTGACAAGGATATTGTCTTTTGAGAACCTACATGTTGAATGCATTACAGTAATGTGAACCTGTATTGCTATGAATCACAGTTTTTGGCTAAACTCAGTAAAGACACTTCATTGTTACATTTGGTTGACACATTCAACAATACCTACCGTTATCTAGATGATATTTTTTCATTAAATAATCCAGAGTTCTCTAAATATACTACCAAAATTTACCCAAAAGGAACTTACTTTAATAAATCTAACATAAACAGCAGTAGTGTCCTTTTCTAGATTTAGACATTTCAATTTCCAAAGGGAAACTCCTATTAAAATTTACGACAAAAGAGACGATTTTTCATTCCCCATTGTTAATTTTCCTTTTTTAGACGGCGATGTTCCTTTAGCCCCATCATACAGTGTTTATATATCCCAACTCGTTCGTTATGCCCGTGTGTGTAGTGATGTCATAGATTTTAAGGAACATAATCAATGCATCACTGGTAAATTATTTAGTCAGGGATTTCCTTACCATAAATTACTTCAAACATTTACTAAATTCCTTCATAGATACAAAGATTTGATTAGTAAATTTGGCTGTACCTATAGAAAACTTATTAAAAACGGTATTTCACATCCTAAATGTTAAGGTAATATTGTACTAAAAGCGTGGAAAGCACTATGTGATCCGAGTAAACTCATTGAACCTTTTAACAAACTTATTAGTAAAGGTTATCTTATTAATGTTTTAATAAGATCTTTGAATATTGTTTACATTGGCACTAACATCGATTTTTGTCATCAACAAATTAAAACATAACTAACTTTGTATTCTTTCAAATGTTTTTTGGAATGTATAAATACACATCCACGTTTATTTTCTATTAAAAGATTGCTTTATCTATATATAACATGATACATATTTATTATAAGGTTAAATCGTAACTATCCTACTGCCTGTAGATACTTTTATTTTGGCATTGCACAAGTCATGTCTTTTTTGAATGTCCATGGCATTAAAACACTAAATCCCTGGGAGGTGTTTTAATTGATTTTAGTCTCTGATTCATGATTTTTTATTATTAAATGTTTTTGGCTTTTAACTAGCTTTCAGTAACTATGAGTACTCTCAAATCGTACTTTCTTGTTAATTTGACCTGTTGACACAATTTGTAATGCATTTCTGTTATTCAATGTTTAATTATTTTGTGTTATATCTCATCTCACTATTTTTAACATGTACCACCTTTGATAAGTATTTAGTATGATGATAAATTTTCACTTCTGTACTCGTACTGTGAACAACAAATTTATTTATTTTGTAAAAAACGTTTCCGTACTCCTAACAACAAAATTATTTTATTGAAATTTACCTGTGTATGTTATATTATTTAACACCATTTTGTCCCAGGTTAGAGTTGTCTTTTTGAGATTGTTCCTACATCTTTTTTATTAATATTATATCTTCATTGTGTCATAGATCAAACTTATTCGTTCAGTGTATGTTTACTTGTTTTTGTTTATATGTCTTTTTGATCGAGTTAAGCCATTTCAATTGATATTTTATAGTATGTCTTTTTATGTGGTAATGTTACACTACTGTTTCAGGTTAGGGTGAAGGTTGGCGCCTGTTAAAACGTTTAAACCCTCTGCACTTGTATGCACCTGTCCTAAGTCAGGAGCCTATTGTTCACTGGTTGTTGTTTGTTGGTGTGGTTTATAAGTGTTTCTCATTTTTTATATAGATTAGACCGTTGGTTTTCCTGTTTGAATTGTTTACACTAGTCATTTTGGGGCGCTTTATAGCTTGCTGTTCAGTGTGAGCCAAGGCTCTGTGTTGAAGGCTGTACTTTGACCTATAGTTGTTTACTTTTTATACATTGTGACTTGGATGGAGAGTTGTCTCATTTGCACTCATACCACTTCTTCTTATTTATACTATCTGTAAACATGATAATGAGCACCTACCTGTAAACACATTAATGTTATAAAAACCTACCTGTAAACACATTAATGTTATAAAAACCTACCTGTAAACACATTAATGTTATAAGAACCTACCTGTAAACACATTAATGTTATAAAAACCTACCTGTAAACACATTAATGTTATAAGAACCTACCTGTAAACACATTAATGTTATAAGAACCTACCTGTAAACACATTAATGTTATAAGAAACTACCTGTAAACACATTAATATTATAAGAACATACCTGTAAACACATTAATGTTATAACCTACCTGCAAACACATTAATGTTATGAGCACTATGGTGATAAGGAATGATGCTGAAACAATGACATCTACAGATCTCTGGGGACCTCGTTTCTGAAAAAAAAAAAAATTAAATTTTATTCTCAAAGCAATGATTAAAAGATTTTTTGATTTGATCTTTTTTTTATATCAACAAAGCATGTCTTAGAGTACAACAAGCTAGTTTATCACTTTTAATGTATAAATTGCTGTTAAAATAAATAAACTGTTTTCACAGAGATATGTCTCGCCTTTTTGTAATTTTGATAATGCAAATGTTGAAATTAAAATAGCAATACTTTAACATGTAAGTTATGCAAATATTCAAAGTCGATGAACCATGACTGAAGGTAAATGGCTTAACAATCTCCATGGAATGAGATGTGCCAATGCAACTGCATACCAAATACCATTGACCTATTATAAGTCTTTCCCTTTAAACAAACCTAAACACAGACATTAACTTGTAAACTATATATATGTAAAAGTTTCAAAGTCAATGAACCATGATCAGGGATGGGGATATATAATCTCCATGGAAACCATACTTGCAAATGCCAATAAATTTGCATACCAAATATCATTGACTTAACATTAGCAGTTCATCTTAAACTGACCTAATCACAAACTAATACATGTAAACTAAGCAAAAGTTTCAAATTAATTAGACCATGACTGAGGGGGCAGGGTCAAATATTCTCCATGAAAATGAGATGTGCTAATGCTTGTACAACTGAACACCAATTAACATTGGCCTACCACTAATGGTTCCCCATAAATTGACCTAATCACAAACTAATACATGTAAACTATGAAACATTTCAAAGTCAATAGACCTTGACTGAGGGGGCGGGGCTAAATAACCTCCATGGTAATGAGATGTGCCAATGCTAATACAACTGCATACCAAATATCATTGACCTACCACTAGTGGTTCACCATGAACTAGACCTAATCACAAACAAATACATTGTTGATGCCGCCACCGCCGTCGACTACGGAAACGGCATACCTATGTCTCGCTTTTTGACTCCGTCAAGGCGAGACAAAAACCCAAACTTTTGATCTTTCCTCTGTACCGTATGAGTCTGACTAATAATTATAATTCAATATCATTTATATTCATATAGGATTTAACATAAATTCTCAAGGATGGAAGATCAAAATTTCTCTTATTTTCATGCTTTTTTCACATTTCTCTATCGGTGTGAGAAAAATATTTCTCATCTCTGTAAACGATTGGTCGAAATTTAAATTATAACGTCAAATTTTCTTGGTTTCTTCTGAATTTCCTATTGCGACGTCATGAAAAAAGGTGACCATGCCTGGTGACGTCACATGTAAATAGCATAACTTTCTGCAAATCTTTGAAAAGAAAGGATAAACTTTGTTTAGATATCGTCTAATAAAATGCTCCGCAGGGCGCAGCTTGATACGACCGCAGAGGTCGAACCCTGAACAGTTGGGGCAAGTATGGACACAACATTCAAGCTTGATACAGCTCTGAATTTGGATTGTGATTAAATATTTGACACAGCATAGGTTACTGACACAGAATGAATGTGGTCTAAGAACTTAAAAATTTTAAATTGGACATTCACCTATTATGGTCCAATATCCAAAATCTAAATACATGGTTAGATTCAGCATATCAAAGAACCCAAAGAATTCAATTTTTGATGAAATCAAACAAAGGTCAATTTTGGACCCTTTTGACCTCAATGTGGACAAAGTTAATAACGGGGCCCAAAAATCAAAAATCTAAATACATGGTTAGATTCAGCATATCAAAGAACCCCATATATTCAATTTTTGTTGAAATCAAACAAAGTTTAATTTTAGACCAACTTGAAAACTGGGCCCAAAATCAAAAATCTAAATACATGTTTAGATTCGGCATATCAAAGAACCCCAATAATTCAATTTTTGATGAAATCAAACAAAGTTTATTTTTTGACCCTTTGGACCTCAATGTGGACCAATTTAAAAACATGGCCCAAAATCCAAAAACTTAATACACGGTTAGATTCAGCATATTAAAGAACCCCAAGAATTCAAGAATAAAACCCCATTGAAATTGGTCAAGAAATAAGCCATTTATACGAAGTATCTTCTTTTGCACAATACTGTGCAATTGAATATTTCTTGCTATTGCGCAATACTAGTACTGTATAATTGACAATTTCTTGCTATTGTGCAATATTGTGCTATTGGATATTTCTTGCTATTGCGCAATACTGTGCAATTGAAGATTTCTTGCTATTGCGCAATACTGTGCAATTGAAGATTTCTTGCTATTGTGCAATTGAAAATTTCTTGCTATTGCACAATACTTATTATATAATAATTTACACATACTGTTTGGTGTGTATCTCTTACCATATCATTATTATTTGCTTTTAAATATAAATCAGAAATAACCAACTTAAAATGGAAAATTTTAAAAGAAAAAAAAAAGGAAAAAAACAAAAATCCCCCCCCCCAAATATTTTGAACCCCCTTATGATTCATCACCCCCAAACTCAATCCCAGCCTTCCCTTTGTGGTATGGTACCTTGCAGTACAATTTCAGAGAGATCCATACACTTGAACACAAGTTATTGTCTGGAAACTAGAAAAATGCTTGTTTTTAGGCCCCTTTTTGGCCCCAAATTCCTAAACGTTTAGGGCAATTAACCCCAAACTCAAACCCAGTTTTCCTCTTGTGATATGGAACCTTGTAGTACAATATCATAAAGATCCATACACTTACACACAAGTTATTGTCCTGAAACTAGAAAAATGCTTGTTTTTTTCCCCTTTTTGGCCCCTTATTCCTAAAATTTTGAGGCAATTACCCCCAAAATCAATCCCAGCCTTCCCTTTGTGGTATGGTACCTTGCAGTACAATTTCAGAGAGATCCATACACTTGAACACAAGTAATTGTCTGGAAACTAGAAAAATGCTATTTTTGGCCCCTTATTCCTAAACGTTTTGGGCAATTACCCCCAAACTCAATTCCAGCTTTCCCTTTGTGATATGGAACCTTGTAGTTAAATTTCAGAAAGATCCATACACTTACACACAAGTTATTATCATGAAACTAGAAAAATGCTTGTTTTTTGCCCCTTTTTTGACCCCTAATTCCTAAAATTTTGAGGTAATTACCCCCAAAATCAATCCCAGCATTCCCTTTGTGATATGGAACCTTGTGGTACAATGTCAGAGAGGTCCATACACTAACACACAAGTTATGTCTGGCCCCTAATTCCTTAACTGTTGGTACCATAACCCCCAATCAATCCCAATCTTCCTTTTGTGGTATTGAACCTTATGGTAAAATTTCATGGAGATCCATTCACTTAAACTAAAGTTAGAGTGCGAAAACCAATGTGTCTTCGGACGACGATGACGACGACAACGACGCCAACGTCATACCAATATACGACCAAAACATTTTTGTGGTCGTATAAAAATCATTAAAGAAACAGATTCCACCACTATACCTCATGTATTCTGATATTCTACACTCTCAACAGTTAAATTTTAATTATTTAAAAAGCTTGGCTAGCGTCGTGCTGTAAACATTTAAATTTAACTGTCTGGAGTGGAGAAATATCGTAACACACTTGATGCAGTGGTGGAATCTATATACTATTATATCTATTAAACAAAGGAGAAGGTCCAGTAAGACTCCTTTTTGGCCCCAAAATATAGCTGTTTTACAAAATTGTTAAAATGTAACTTTTTAGCTATTTATTGGAAAGTAGAATACTTCTGCTACATAAATATGGGCTGTTTTTGACAATATAATGCACATATATCGGGTACTAGCATCATTTAGTCATGCTAAATTACTGAAATCTTCACAATTTTTGCATTTGAGTTATATTTTAGAAGGTTTCCATCTTAAATGGAAGTGGTCGCATTTGTGTTCATTCTTAATATTTAAATGTAAGTTGTATTTGATGATAATACATAACATATATAAAGATTGAGAGTGAACACGGATGCGGCCACTTTCATTTTTGACAACAAGAGTGCACACGCTGAAATGTCTCACCTTCTTTACTAACCATTGATTTTATGTTGATAGTCCTAAATACAAGGCTTTACTACAAGTAACACATAAACTTAACATGATCCAAGAAAATGAGGTCAAGGTCAGATAAACCAAACGAGAAATACATGTACACCTTACAATCATTCAATAAACCAAACATAGTTGACCTATTGCTTATTGTTTCTAAGAAATAGTCTTAAACAAGAAAACTTAACATTGACCAATGAACCATGAAAATGAGGTCAAGGTCAGATGAACCATGCCAGACAGATATGTACACCTTACAATCAATTTAGGCATTAAATATAGTTGACCTACAGCTTAAAGTATGTAAGAAACAAACTTAACCATGAAAACTTAACATTGACCAATGAACCATGAAAATGAGGTCAAGGTCAGATGATACCTGCAAGACAGACATATACACCTTACAATCCTTCCATACATCAAATATAGTTGATCTATTGCTTATAGTTGAAGAAAAACAGACCAAAAAACAAAAACTTAACACTGAGAAATGAACCGTGAAAATGAGGTCAAGGTCAAATAAAACCTGTGAGACTGACATGTACATCATAAAATATTTCCATACACCATTTATAGTTGACCTATTGCATATAGTATTAGAAAAAAAGACCAAAACTCAAAAACTTATCTTTGACCACTGAACCATGAAAATGAGGTCAAGGTCAGATGACACATACCAGTTGGACATGTACACCTTACAATCATTCCATATACCAAATATAGTAGACCTACTGCTTATAGTATCTGATATATGGACTTGACCACGAAAACTTAACCTTGCTTACTGATCCATGAAATGAGGTTGAGGTCAAATGAAAATTGTCTGACGGGCATGAGGACCTTGCAAGGTACATACATACTAAATATAGTTATCCTATTACTGATAATAAGAAAGAAATTTTTTCAAGTAGTCACTGAACCATGAAAATGAGGTCAAGGACAATGGACATATGACAGATGGAAACTTTGTAACATATTAAAGGCATCTATATACAAAGTATGAAGCATCCAGGTCTTCTAGCTTCTAAAATATAAAGCTTTTAAGAAGTTAGCTGATGCCGCCGCCGCATCACTATCCCTATGTCGAGCTTTCTGCGACAAAAGTCGCAGGCTCCACAAAAACCATCTGAAAATGTACATATTATGGCATATTTGATAGATTTTTCATATTTAAGCTTGAATTTGAGCGACTGAAATGACTAAATCAGTTCAAATCTTTCACATAAAGTAATTGAATCGACTGAAGTAGACACTTAAGTGTTTAAAAAGTGTCCAAAATCTATCTATCAGATGAACCTGAAATTTGAGGCCAAAATCAGCCCTTACCGGACCTACTCCTTTATAAAGTTATTACAATTTCTGCATTTTCTGGTAGACATTCATGATCAGATAAACTAATAATTTTGTGTTTTATTATTATACATAGAACACACTTTGGAAAAAGACCTAACAGACAACCACGTTTTGATATTGACCATTTGGGGTTAATCCCTACCAATTAATCCATCAATCTTTTCACCAATAATATAACATCTTTCACTACAATATTATTTTACATACCTTTAAATAAGACCTGATAGACAACCACGTTTTAATATTTCGGACTTTATTTAACCTGAAGTGTGGCATATCAAATTTCTTTGCCCTCCTAGATGATGTTAAGTAACAGAAATGTTTTGCATACAGTAATCTCTGGAAAAGAACAAGATATTTATTTTTATTTTATATGGATTCATTTATATTTTAGGATATCAATTTCTTCCTGGATTCAGGAAATATGTATTTTATGCATATTTGATTTTGTGGTTATGCAAAAACATGCATACAAGCCTGTAGAAATTTTTACTTTATTGTACATTTAAATATGTGGTTTATCTTTACCCTTGAATGCACTAAAATTGGTAACAAATACACAGCATTGAGAGTTTTTGCAGCCACACTCTATACACTCATACTGCTTGGTGGTGTCATGGTAGCATACAAGCCTTGTGTGCAGGAGATATGGGTTCAATCCATGGTCAGGTCATATTTAAGACTTTAAAATTGGTATTTGCTGCTCTCTTCTAAGACATACCTCACAGCTTGAGCTGAGGCAGCTTACAACAAATTTCAAGCAATAAATCTAAGACATCATATAGAGTTTAGGATTAAAAGCAAAGACTATTCATCTTCAAGTCTGATTTATGGTTCCAGTTATACGGAACAGGATAGACAGGAGACCTTAAATAACTAAAAGTCTAGAACCTGATTCAGTCTGTTGTCTTGTACAATTTAGAGTTCATATTCATATGACATTAACATGTTCTCATCCAGATAATGAACAAAATATATGTCACTGGACATTATAAAACTGCCTTTCATTTCAACAGTAAGTTCACATAGTAAGCAACTAATTTTTGACAAGTACCAGTAGCTAAAAAATTTCGGACTCCACACTAGTAGGTAAAGGAACAACACAGTCATTTCATCTTTACAGAACCCCTTCTATAGCGGTATTTGGATTTTGATTTGATTTGATTTTTGGTGTTTTAACGCCACTTTTAAGCACTGCTTTTGGGCTATTTCGTGGCGGCCAGTTTTTATTGGTGGAGGAAGCCAGAGTGCCCGGAGAAAACCACCGACCTTCGGTAGGAAAACTGACAATCCTAGTCAATTAAGATTGGAGTCGAGTGCACCTGCATGAGCGGGGTTCGAACTCACAACCTCAGCGTTGACTGGCTAGTGATTACAGTAGTAACTACTTAGACCACTCGGCCACCGAGGCCCCTATTTGGATTTTGATCAGTGAATTATAAATATCAGTGAATCAGTGAATTATAAATATAGACTGCTTTGTCGCCCAGGCTCAAATTTCAATTTATGCAAAGATAATCATTTGCCAAGTTCATTACTGTCAACCAACCACAAAATGAAAAGATTTCAAGTAATAATTTACTAAGCTGCTTCTGAAATTCAATTTGTTTTTATAGCTGAAACTGAATCTCTTCTACTATACTATCTGAAATCCTTAGATGATGTTGTGTTTGACAAGAACGAAGCTAAAGTATATTTAAAATCAAATTCTTTAACTTCCTGTAAAGATTATTTTCATAGCCTAGTTTACCTGTTTAAATGTTCTGTCAGCCACAGACAGAAGGAAAAAGAAGACAGAACTCAGCCAGAATCTCTGTATAATACCATTCATCATGATTAGATTCAACCTACAAAAATACACACATATTTTAATAAGATATCCTCCTAAAAAAAAAACACATCTCCTTTAATTCATACTGAGATTTCTTGAATAAATATTGATAAGTTATACATAATCAAAGCACGAAAGCGCTGTAAAGGCAGTTAATTACAGGTTGTGTGTATTTTAAGTCCAGTTATATCATTATCTTGCATAGTACAGTGTACTTATCAGAGGTGGCTTTCAGTATTTAACATTTAGAGTTCTCTAATGATATTGAATAAGTTTTATGAATGTCATATTCTGAGCACTATATGAAGGCGATTGTTCTCACTTGTTTATGAACTAGTGCATTATGTCCAGTTTGTACCTTTTTTATCTATGTTTAGAGTCAAATTAGTTATCAAAGGTACCAGGATTATAATTTAATACGCCAGACGTGTGTTTCGTCTACATAAGACTCATCAGTGACGTTCAGATCAAAATAGTAACAAAGCCAAACAAGTACAAAGTTGAAGAGCATTGAGGACCCAAAATTCCAAAAAGTTGTGCCAAATACGGCTAAGGAAATCTATTCCTTGGATAAGAAAATCCTTAGTTTTTTCATTGGCAATCATAACACATCTCCTTATTTATATAATGATCTATATTCAACGACCTCAGGTACAAAAAAAAATGTATGTAACTAAACTATGATGGGAAACCTTTGACTTCTTTCTTTATATAAACTTTTGATTTGGTACCATAGAACTATGTAGAGTAAATGTACATTGCAACATGTCAACTCTTTCAACTCCAAGCAAAATTATATTTCCAAGCATAAAGTAATTTATGAATGAAATAAAATGCTCCGCTGGGGCGCAGCTTGATACGACCGCAGAGGTCGAACCCTGAACAGTTGGGGCAAGTATGAACACAACATTCAAGCTTGATTCAGCACTGAATTTGGATTGTAATTAAATATTTGACACAGCATAGGTTTCTGACACAGAATGAAAGTGGTCAAAGATACTTAAAAAAATTTAATTTACCTATTCAAACCATATCATTATTATTTGCTTTTATATATAAATCAGAAATAACCAATTTAAAATGGAAAATTTTAAAGAAAAAAAAGGAAAAAGAATCCCCCCCAAATTTTTTGAACCCCCTTATGATTCATCACCCCAAAACTCAATCCCAGCCTTCCCTTTGTGGTATGGTACCTTGCAGTACAATTTCAGAGAGATCCATACACTTGAACACATGTTATTGTCTGGAAACTAGAAAAATGCTTGTTTTTTGGCCCCTTTTTGGTCCCAAATTCCTAAACGTTTAGGGCAATTACCCACAAACTCAAACCCAGCTTTCCCTTTGTGATATGGAACCTTGTAGTACAATTTCATAAAGATCCATACACTTACACACAAGTTATTGCCATGAAACTAGAAAAATGCTTGTTTTTTGCCCCTTTTTGGCCCCTAATTCCTAAAATTTGGAGGCAATTACCCCCAAAAATCAATCCCAGCATTCCCTTTGTGATATGGAACCTTGTGAGATCCATACACTTACACACAAGTTATGTCTGGAAGTTACAAAAATGCTTATTTTTGGCCCCTAATTCCTTAACTGTTGGTACCATAACCCCCAAAATCAATCCCCACTTTCCTTTTGTGGTATTGAACCTTATTTTAAAATTTCATTGAGATCCATTCACTTAAACTAAAGTTAGAGTGCGAAAACTAATGTGTCTTCGGATGACGACGCCGACGACGCCAACGTCATACCAATATACGACCACAAAATTTTTTTGTGGTCGTATGAAAAGGAGTTCTTAATTAAGAAATAAACTGATTCGCTGCTGGATACACCCGCAGAGGTACTACCCTGAACAGCTGGGGCAAAAATGGACACAATATTCAAGCTTGATACAGGTCTGAATTTGGATTGTAATTAAATATTTGACATATTATAGTTTCTGAATAAATGTAGTCAATGAACTTGAAATCGGTTATATGAATTGAATTTATATTCAATTAAAGATTTCTTGCTGTTGTGCAATACACTGTGCTGTTGTGCAATACTTAATAAATCTGTTGCCAGACTATAAACAAATAAAGTTCAATTTCTTCTCAATGTCATATTTGAAATTTATGAAAATCAATAGGGAGATTACATCAATAGCTATAAATAATTCACCAAAGTTTCATGTGAACTGCTTAAAGCTTTTTTGAGTTGTTGTCCAAAAACTGGAAAATCCCCCCTTTTTTAATGAATAAAACCCCATAACTCAGAAATGTAAAATCTAAAATTTATAAAATTCTAAAGGGAGCTTACGGATTGATAATTTAGTCTTAGATGCAAGATTTTTTTATCAGTTGTTAGTGGCTTTGAACTAGCTGTCAGTAACTGCGAGTACTCTCAGATTTGTACTTAGTGTCTTTTTGTTGTTTGGATGTACAACTACCCGACCACGTCCACTTGTATTTGTATTTATCCATCTGATGAGTTTAGCCTCTTTCAACTGATTTTTATAGTTCTTTCTTATATTGTACTGTTACACCACTGTCCCAGGTTAGGGGGAGGGTTGGGATCCCGCTAACATGTTTAAGCCCGCCACATTCTGTATGTACATGTTTGTGCCTGTCCCAAGTCAGGAGCCTATAAAAGTGTAATTCAGTGGTTGTCGTTTGTTTATGTGTTGTATATTTGTTATATTTGTTCATTTTTTTTACATAAAATAGGCCGTTAGTTTTCTTGTTTGAATTGTTTTACATTGTCATTTCTGGGCCTTTTATAGCTGACTGTGCGGTATGGGCTTTGCTCATTGTTGAAGGCCGTACTGTGACCTATAGCTGTTAATTTCTGTGTCATTTGGTCTCTTGTGCATGTGTGGAGAGTTGTCTCATTGGCAATCATACCACATCTTCTTTTTTATATTTACATCAACAGATATAAAAAATTCACCAAAGTCAAGGTGAGACAACAAAACTTAGTTGTAAGATCTCTGAAATTTTTTACAGGGTACGAGTTTTTCTCATTGTTGGAGATTGTACGGTGACAGTAACACCTGTAACTGCTTAAACCCATTTCTTATGCACTTTAGTTTGATAAACTCACTGAATATCATACCACATCTCCTTATTTTTATATGCATTACAATTTACATGTGCATGTAATTGTAAATATATATATATCAGAACAAAATTCATTGCGTCACTTTTATTTATGCATCGCGTATATTGTGCCAAAGGATATATATATATATATCCTTTGGCACAATACAAGTTCTAAAATTACACAACATACAACAACTAAATGTTATTTCAGATGAAAGTTTTGTTTCAGTTTCATTCATAGGATTTATTAGAATTTTGTATGTTTTGCCAAGTCCAATAATTCGCTCTATGTGACATAGAGACATAGTTGACTAAACCACCAGGTGTCGAACATTCAAGAATTTTCAGTGTTTCTGTTTTTATTTGATGAAAAGGTTGCCTGAGCTCTAGGAGCTTTAGGTTTTATCACGGGATATTCTGTGCTGTCAATAATAATCCAAGTCGTAGGAAACTTTAATTTGAAGTTGGATGGTGAAAAATACCTGACTAAACCACTAGATGGCCAAGTGTTAGCCTCACACCACTGTTTAGACATAAAAATAATCCATGTATACACAATATTCTTAACACTAGATTCAATCTAGAATCTAGACAGTTCAAAGTTGGTTGTATGATGCCTCAATTTCATCAAAGTCATAAAAAAACTGATTTTCAACTGACACCCTATCAATTTGAAAATATATGTATCTCAAACAATGTGCTGCTGGACCAAGTGTGGTCAAAACAAATAAAAATTTAGTATACAACTCTAAACTGGTATAAAAATGCATGGCTGTGTCACGTGTCTTCATTTCAAAATTCTCTGCTGAAAACATAGGCATTGATGGTGTTTGCGTAATTCCATCTGTGAAGCTCAACATTAGCTCGGCAGTTGGTGGTGGACAGTCATAAATCCTTTCTGCAGTATGAATGACTTCTTCAGGAAAACCAACTTTACAATCAAAACTTTCCTCTAGATTTCTACTTCAATATTCATAACGTTTAGTTCTTTTGTTTTCACAGGAAACTGCCCTGATTTTTTCTTTTTGCGGACGATTCAGTCTCTTGCTTGGTCCAGGAAAATAGGCTGGGAATTGCAGTAGACTTAAGTCTCTGTATGGTGGGTTTGCGCACTGAAAAAGGTTATAAAACATTAGATTTTTTATAATTAAATAAACTTCCATTAGCAATGTATACTTTGTACTACCTGGCGAAATATTAACTAGATTTATTCATTACAATCTGGATAAAACTATGTTTGCCTGATTCAATGTATGTTATGTAAATCCAAAGGACAAACAATGAGAGACTTATGCAACAAACGTACATTGTTTGTACCTAAATAACTATAATATAGATGAGAGCATGTCATTGTTTTGTTCCTGTTAACATTGTCATTGATATTTTTCAAGAAAGTCTATGAGGCATAGCTTATGCATTCCTGTCATTACTACATTAGCATAATTACTGCTAAAATAATTCTCAGTATGATATACCTCTTGTAAGAAATCATTATAATTGTAGCAATCACCAAAAAATCTCAAACAGATCACATTGAATCGTAATCCAAAAAATTATGACGTCTTGAATTACCCACCCCCTTTTATTCTAAAACGATAATTGCGGTTGTAAACAGACTTTGGTTTATTCGCATGGAGTTTACATATATAACTATATATTTCACAAAGAAAATAGAGTTTTACCATGAATAGTCTTTTTCAGTAAAACGTACCTTGCAAACAACAGCTGATTGAGATGGACTCCACGATATCATCGTGTTCTCGTCCAATCTGCGTATGGGCCATGGCGTTGATCCAACTTTTCCTTCTTTTTAAGTTATTTGGAAATGCATGTCCTCCTCTTAAATGACATCCAGGTACACAACAACAAGTACTTGGCATCGTTAATTAAAAATATAACTGAAATAGTTGCACAGTGCAGAAACCGGAAGAAGAGGAACAGGATCCGCTACCACGGCGCCACCTATTCAGGAACGATAATTTGCTACTTCATATAACTGCGAAAATAACGTTAGACGGGTTCACGTGCATAAACAGAAATGCGCTTTAAATTGTATAATATAATTCATGTTCAGTCGACCTTTAATTATTATATCAACGACTGAAATGATTTATAAACATCTAGATTGCAGATAACACTCGAAATTAACCCGAGCTCTTTCCACACGGAATTCAAATAATTCTAGTTTGTCAATCGGTTGACTGCTTATAATGCAAAATACTAATATATCAAAAGTTTTTAAAACTAACAAAACACAATGATCGTTTCTCTATTTCCCAATGTAAATGAAATGAAACAAAAAACATTTTATATCGCAATAAGAAGAGGAGAGAATTCAACATTTCCGGATCTACTTGGAGTCTAATGACCCCCCACGTAGAAAAGTTGGATATCGCGGAAGGAAGGATTAACCCGGCAACTAGAAAGGCATTAAAGCACTGCCTTTAAAAATTCCTTCTGCTGAAAGTAAGTTAAAATTTTTCTCCTTTTGAGAAAGTTTTTGACTTTGAACATTTCCTGCATTATTTGACTTTGGGATATTTACCAGTAACAGTATATCCTGGGAATGTTAACTAACAAGAGTAGAAAACTTTCTGACTCTGTAACAAGATCGTTTCTCCCATATGTTTTTCTGTCTTTTAATAAAAATCTTGTGACAGTTAGATCAACAACCAAGCTACATAAATTTTGATATGAAATCACAATATATGCTGCTATCTAAAGTATGTGATATTACTTATTTAGGAATCTTTATTTTAATATTTTTCTGATATATCTTGTGTTGCATCTATCATTTGTTTGCATTTTTGTCAATATTTTAGTGCAAACATAACTAAATAGTGACAATTTTTCAATATCCAACATGAAAAAAAAGGAAATACACATGGAAAGAAAAGAACTTATATTAAATGATTTTGGCTACGTCAGATCTTATACGAAAATATTAACTAACCTCCATGAATTATGCATCAAACAGCACCAAACTTTGGATAAAAAACTAATGATTTCCAGGCTCATTAAGCTAGGAAATTCTTTGACATGATAAAGACGGAATACTAGCGGTACCAAACACAATAAGACAGAAAATGTAAAGCCTATGAGTATGTAGTCTGAACTTTCTGGAATATCGTCCACTTTCTCTATAATTGTCCAGCCTAACTCCAGGGCAGTTAAATCCACTTTCTGACATTCGCCCTTTTCCCAGATGACACAGCTTACTAAAAAAAAATAACATGAGTCTAATTTAAACAAAATGGTTTCTACTACACAAAAGTTGTTATCTTATCTGATTAAATGAAAAATTTCAATCAACAGAGCAATATCATGTAAAGACTTCGCCAGAATGCATGTGTTTTCATGCTAAACAAATGAAAGTATCCGAAAACAGGAAGTAGGTGTTCAACAGATCCAAAAGACAGACACCGGTTACAACTCATCACTGCTAAGCTACTGACAAAATTCAAAATTATTCTCTTCAGTAATACTTCAGAAAAGTGCAATGAGAATTTTTAAGTTGATTCAACATATTGAAAAATTCAAAGTACAGAAAAAAGTATTTGCAAATAGAAAGTTGGTGTCCAAGTTCCAAAATGTGTGCGTACAATACTACTCATCAATGTCCAGCTGCTGACCAAATATAAAGTCATTCGGTTCTATTGTACCTGATAAAAGTGATGGAAATATTTGTTCAACATAAGAACGTTCTGAAGAACAGAGAGACGATAAATGTGATATAGCCCCACTTTTACAATTGGGGTATAATATTAAAAGGATGCGGTTGATATATCATATAATTATCTTAACCCTAACATATGTTTCTCATCAGCTGATATATGCAAATGTGAAAAAATTTCAACAAACTGTAGAAAATGTAAAGTGTTTTATCTCCCCTACTGCTAGTAATACATGTAATAATACAGTACATACTACCACAAATTCATATATATCTGTCTTGTTTGTAAGTTTCCTTGTGAGTGTTGGGGTAAGGAATGTTTCTACTATGATTTCACAAACTGACCACGACTTTTAAAAATACTTATATTTTATCCATCATGTCCATATAACTGACCTTTGTCTGGTGGTACATAATGATGACCTAAAGTTGAACTACTGGTGGGCTGTAACATAAAATATCAATACTCATTTAATAAGATATCTTGTCATATGATTATACACCTTGTTGTTATTTATTCCAATCCGTATAAGTTCTGAAATTTCACAACTTTTTCATGGCGTCACAGTCCACTCACTTTGAAGCTATATGGGGTCCTGTTTCAACAATGTATTGTGCATAAAGCTTTTTAAAGATACATGTTTTAACTATCATAAACATTTCAAACTAAGCATTTTTATGACTTTATTTAATGTTTCAAAATATCTGATCATAATCTATCAAAATTTCAAAACATTCACTAATTCTAAACTTTTTCCTCCCTCAGCTCATTACTAATGACCTTTGGTTTTGCGACATTTGACCAAAACAGGAAGTGAAATCATACTTTAATATATCTTTAAATAATGAATCAACAGTAAGCGAATGAAGCTATTAACATTGTAGTAGAGATCTGCTTATTTTAGCATGACAATAAAATATTTCAATGTGTCTTTAGCGTTTTTGTAACTTGATTTGTATCTATCTGATGAGTCAAGCCCTTGTCATCTGATTTTTATAGTTTGTTCTTATGTTGTAATGTTACACAACTGTCCCAGATTAAGAGGGAGAGCTTGACACCCACAAACATGTTTAACCCTGCCACATTCTATATGTGCCAGTTCCAAGTCAGGAGCCTGTAATTTAGAGGTTGTCACTTGTTGCTGTATACCACATTTGTTTTTCTTATGCTGTTTTGTTCATAAATCAGGACGTTGGTTTTCTCATTTGAATTATTTTACGTTTTGTTACACTATGGGTATGGGGTTTTCTCATTTGAATTATTTTACGTTTTGTTACACTATGGGTATGGGGTTTTCTCATTTGAATTATTTTACGTTTTGTTACACTATGGGTATGCGGTTTTCTCATTTGAATTATTTTACGTTTTGTTACACTATGGGTATGGGGTTTTCTCATTTGAATTATTTTACGTTTTGTTACACTATGGGTATGGGGTTTTCTCATTTGAATTATTTTACGTTTTGTTACACTATGGGTATGGGGTTTTCTCATTTGAATTATTTTACGTTTTGTTACACTATGGGTATGGGGTTTTCTCATTTGAATTATTTTACGTTTTGTTACACTATGGGTATGGGGTTTCCTCATTTGAATTATTTTACGTTTTGTTACACTATGGGTATGGGGTTTTTTCATTTGAATTATTTTACGTTTTGTTACACTATGGGTATGGGGTTTTCTCATTTTTGAAAGCCATAAGGTGACCTGTACTTCCTGACATTTACATCACTTGGTCTCTGGTGGATAGTAGTCTCATTGGCCAGCATAACATCTCATTATTTTGTATAATCATTATATAGTTCATAAACTTCTTTAAATACTATTTGAAAGATAGTATAATATGTAGAACACATAAATTGCAAATGGAAATACAGATTGTAAGAAATGTAGATGTAACGTGAGGGTACCCAAATTGCACCTATTTTGACAGTTTTTTCACCTACGTTTATTTATGATCCAGACAAAAGTTTCCATTTTGTGTTTATTTTGTAGATGTGTGTGTCCTTATTTACCATGTTTACTATATAGTTCCACCAATTTAATTTTGACTCCATATTAAAAATGGGTTTGAACCGACCTCTAAACGATCCATGATTCTGTAATGAGGAGTACGTAAATTGCAACCATGCTTAAATTCACATCCTTAAAAATCGTATAACAGATGTTTTGTTTTATTTCTTCAAATATTTAGAACAATTTGACATTAGTCCATGCTTACTATTCATTTTTTAAGAAATGGGTGCTCGTAACATATTTTATTTGGTCATTTTTAAAAGATGACTTTTTGTGGCGACGTTTCTGTAGATTTGACTTTTCCAGTGAATACTTCATCTGTTGACATATACTGTGAATGTTTTGTGAATATTTAAATATATTTACCTATTTGAAAGATGTGCATAATGTCAAATAATAAAAAAATACAAATTGTTTAGTCCCTTATAAAACTTGTAAGATTTTCGCTGCTAGTTTTGCTAACTAGGTGCAATTTGGGTACTGTGACGTTACAGTAAATATTTGAATAATCATTCATTTCTCCAACTGAAATACAGGATCATTTCATAAACAGCCTTTATCTTTGATCTATATATTGTCAAGTCGACAACTTAAATATACAATATTAGGTCAATGTCAGAAAAATATAAACTTTTTTGTATGAGGCTGAGAAACTGGTAAAGGGCGAGGTTTTACAGAGCCCTTTCCCAGTTTTGTGCCGAATACAAAAAAGTTTATATTTTTCTGACATTGACCTATAATATTGTTTTTATACTGCAACTTAAATTAATAAATTGAAAGCTTTTAAATTATTACACAAATTACATACTTATTTTCATCTCTAAACATTCTAAATGAACCCCTGATTGTGGAAAAAGTGATCCATGATGAAATTGACATTGCACAAAATATAGCTTTGTTACTATATTTAGGAAATAAACACAACTAGTTGCAGTATAAATGTATGTTCAATGTACAAATCAACTACTTTAACCTGAATATAAGCAAAGCAATACTTCATTATCACTCATAAAATTGTTTAGTGAACATATTAAAAATGTTTTCAAACTGTGTATTTATGCATGAGCACACTGCATGAGCACACAACATTTTGTTAAGCCTGCCTCAAAGTAAAACTATTAAGCAACAAACTGCTGTATCAAATGCTCAATCATAAATGACAAAATGTTGGATGATGTAAAGTTCACAACTTAAAACAAATGAGCATAAAACTATGATAACTATGAGTAACTATCTTAGACATGTTAAAAATTCTCGATCTTGAAATTAATCAAGCCAAAATCTTTGATTTTGTAGAGCTCTCACCAGTTATCCCAATCCTTAGCCAAAGATGGATCAGAATCCCTATGAGCAATTAATGAAAAGTTTGTAACGGTGGGTAGATAAAATCTGGTTCCAATTCCAACGTAGAAATTATGTTCCATGGGAATCAGATCCAGATTTTACATATCCACGGTTACAAATTTTTCAATAATTGCTCCTCAGAATTCGGATGGAGATACATGGTGTAGGGCTGATGGACCAATACTGATTTTCTAGTCTGGATCTTTTCATGCTTTTTTTTTAAATTTAGGTTTTTTATAACACCATACTATATTCTAAACTTTCATTTAAAATTAAACCTGAGTATCTTATCTTTTTTTTACATGTTTAGAATTTAATTTTGTATATTTTTTTCTATGACTCAAAATTTTTTTTAACACCAGTAACATGGTAACAATAAAATTTCCTAATTTTTACAGTTTACTTCTGTGCAAATAATACAATTCATTCTCAGTTTTAAAATCAGTACAAAAAATGATTTTCCTGGTTCTGAGGAGAAGTCATTTACGCAATATCTAACGATCTTTTATGCAAATCGCTCAATGTTAAAACAAATTAATCAATCTATATGACAACAGTGAATTTGACAAACAGGAACAGATTGGTTGATATGAATGAATGTTAGGACAATTGAAACTAACACCCTAAATACAAATGAAATATGACTATTCTCATATTTGATTTTATAGGCAGAATTTTTTAAATGTCTACAGATCGACAACAATGATAAACTATGAAGTTATTGAAAACGATGAGAAATTTTGCTATGAGAAACCCTTAAAAAACCAAATCTGACAAAAAATAAAATATGGAGGTTCAAAAACTGCAAATGGTGCAAGACTATTGGAGTGTAAAAAAACATACATTTTTCCCCTTGACTGCATTATATAACTCCCCAAAAAATAAATGTTATGTTTCATGCCTCCCTACCATCCCTTTATATAAACTAGCTTTGATCTCTACCCTAACACATTTTTTGGTTAAGGACTATTCAGGGTCCAAAACATCCCCCTTTATCATGTATATAATCATAATATTAATCTATGTCAAATATTAAAAAAGATAAAATCAGTTTACCTACCTACAATATTATTTCTGTCTGGATTCAGGAAACAATGGGACTTTTATAGCTTGCTATGAGGTATGGGTTTTGCTCGTCATTGAAGACTGTATGGTGATTTATAGTTGCTAACATATCTATGTAATTTGGACTCTGGTGGTTAGAGGTCTCATTGGCAATCATTCTACATCTCATTATTTTATATATTTTTGTTTTGCCTAATTACATACATGACAAAAGGATAATCAGTTTATGCTTTAAAACAATCCATTTACATATATATAGACAATAACAACAAGCTTATGTCTAAATATAAACATTAGTCTTCTCTTTTTTGTTTTGTTGGGTTGCTGACTCATTAGCATAAATCTCCCACGTCACATTTTATTATCTTTTTTATACAAAGCTTTTTTTAATCATGCATAATCTAAAGCACACATTAAATGACTTGTAATACTAGTTATAAATAGTCACTAGGTCTAATTTTAAACATTTTGATTAGTATTTCAAGAAAGATTTTTAGAAGAGCAAAAGACGTCTTGGTTAAATATTCTTTTACAGAGTAAGGCCAAATGAAAAATATTTTGTTGTTCCAGTTAAATGCTTATGTACTGTCAATCATGACTGTACAACAATAAAAAAATGATGAAATGAAAAATGAGATCTTAATTAATGATAGTGTAATAAAACATAATTTATTGGAATAGGGGTAAACTGAAATTACATATTTGAAAAATATATCTTATATTTGAAATCATAACATTTTTTCAGTTAACCACAAGTGTCAAACAAACTTAATGAAAGATAGCTCTATGCAGACAGAATATCAAAAGGATTTTTCAAATAAATAAAAATTGCTCCAAAAAATGTATCAAACATTCAAGTAAAATTTTTTAAACAGCTAAAATTTCTATAACAGGAATATAAAAATTCTGAAAAATTTTAGTCAAAATTTCTTTAGTGTCGTAAATCAAATTTAAACCCAAAATTGATTTTTCCATCCAAGTACAGATTATTGTGCTCTGAAAAACTGTAACAAAGTATATTTTTTGCTTGGCCAATATAGATACATTGCCCTATGCCAGATGCTAATTTCTGATAATCATCTCTTACCTCTGCGCTTCCCTAAGGAAAACGATAATGAAATAAAGTATCGAAGAAGAAATATTACTCTAAAGACTAGCAGCTATAAATAGATCATACCCATAAAGCCATGCAAGCCTTTCATTGGATGATATTTTTTCTTTTCTATATACATAAAATGTCAGTTTGCTGTTTCCCTAGTTCAGTCAGGGGTACTACTTGTACAAGTAATTTTTATTTACTTGAAGAAGTAATTATAATATACTTATATAAGTAAATTTGTAGGATACTTATACAAGTGTATTTTATTTACTTGCTTGTATAAGTAAATTATTTTTTTGGCCTAGTTATGTCCCTTAGACATTCAGATTTTTTTACTTATACAAGTAAAAAAGTCATCCTATCTTCTTTTCTTGAATTCTTAGAACTTCTTTGCTCTAACAGAATTTTGAATTGTCTGTCCCATGATTTTACATCCCAAAACTTGAGAATTTTTGTGGGATTGTAAAAAAAATTTACTTATACAAGTAAATTTTTTAGAAAATTAAGGGGAGATTATTCAAACAATATAATTAACTTGTATAAGTATATTTTATTTACTTCTTCAAGTAAATAAAGATTACTTGTACAAGTAGTACCCCTGACTGTAGTTAACATTTATCAAAAAGTTACAAATTTACAGAGTATTCTTAATAAAATGATTCATCCATTTCAAATTTATAGAACTTTCTTCTACTTACAAAGCTCGTAATTTTTCCACAGGATTTTTTCCATACAAAGAAAGATACACATGTACAAATAATGTACATGTGTACAAATGATATACATGTGTACAAATAATGTACATGTAGCTGGATTTGGTTATTTTTTTCCAATTAGACTATCAGGATATTTTTTAAAAGTTTTTTCTTGTAAATGTACAATAATCAGGGTTCTCACTAAGGCCAGTCCATGAGTCCTTGATCCATCATTTTAAAAACTGATGAACCAAAGATGCAACAAGTTATAAAATGTTGTCAACTGAACCAAAATTTCCTCATTTTATACATGTTATAGCAAAAGTTAAAAAATTAATCTTAACATGCTTAATTTGATGTAATTTCCTTGTTCTATTTTCATGATTTTGAAAAAGGAGACTTCAATAATAAATTGTATACAATTTTGTTTCATCTTCCCGCTGTTGGACTTGCCACGGCCACAAATGGTGACTCCCTGGACTCTCCTACAAGAATCCTTAGATAGAACCCTGTTATGATTGAACACATTATTCCACATAATTCAAAAATGATGTGATGTAACAATAAATGTCAAGGGGGGAGGGGGAAGTCTTATATTGTTACCATGCTAGAAAAGGCCAGATAAGATAATTTCTTAGATTCTCATTCCTATCTCAATCATTACCCATCCACAAACACACAAAGAATTTTGATAATTCTATATTTTGGCCTTATATAAAAACATACATGTAGATCGTTTCAACTGTGACTATCATTCATTGCTATCTTCAATTTGTTTTTTAAAAATTTACCCTACCTTCCAAATTCCTACAAAAATTAAATGAAAATCTAGGAATTATCTTTTATGGCCTAAAAGATAGAGCTGGCTATACATACAGGTTGAAGGAGATTTATTACATGTATGTTGTTCTCTCCTGCCGTTTGATTGGCTGATGAAGAGTTCAACACTGTGGTTGATGTTTCTTGCCCTGCCTCATTTCCAAGTTCAACATCTGACCCACAACTACTGGAATATGTGGAAGTTGTGTCATCAGATTGTACCCTATCTTCCCAATCAGAGCTGGTCAGCTAGAATAAATAAAATATCAACATTTATGCAAAATATATTGTCATGATTGTGGACAAATATTATGATTCTTCATCACTGAAAAACCTTATATTTCACTTTTTAACCAAAATCTATAGGAAACATGCAAAAAATTCAAATTATCAAGCATGGAGAATTATCATAGCTCACAAGTAAATAGAAGTGGGAAATTATTCCTTATTCGTTTCTTGATCTTGCTTTCAAGCTCATATCTATTAATGTTAATCCACTGTGCCCATCAATAAATTAAACAAAGTCAATAAAACGTATATTTGCGACAGTCAAATCCCAATTGACGGCTGCAACTAGTGAATTACAGAACTGTTATTTGTATTCTAATGCATCAAAAAAAGAAATTGTACATTATAGCCTGTAAAAAATTAATAAATTTACCTTATGACCACTTGTATGACTAGCTTGACTTGTTTCACCATCAGAGGAGCTGAGATCTTTCTTTAAACTTTCCTTATTCCTAGCTATTGTTCTCTTCGTTCTATAAAATGGTCCAGACTCACTGCTTTCATCTCCAACAGTATGGCTGCGTCGTCTCAAGCCCTGAAGAAGGGCTGTTTTAGCCTTTAGTTGAGTTTCTTTGTCAGATTCAGACCCAGAGTTATTCCTTTCCTGATCAGTATCTGACATCACTTCCTTTTTAGGTTTTGAATGTAATGAAGGCAAGGGGACAGATTCTGACCTAAATAATAGAGTTTTGTTGGTAAAATCAATTCCACTGTCTTCACTTAAGTTTTCTCCATGTCTTATAATATTCAACTGTTCCCTTGGATTTCTATAAGAACTGGATCCAGGTTTGTTGTCTTTTGCTTGCAATTTGTCTGTTTGTTTATAATCTACTACTCCACTGCCTCCTACAGCAAGGTTATCTAAATCACTGGTACCCTCATACTCTAATGTATTGGACTCTGGAGCAGAACTGGAGCTGGTGATAGAACTCAAACTATCGATAGAAGGGTTCATAAATTCCACAGCTTCCTCTGCAGTTAAATTTTCCACTTTAAGAATTGTCCCATCAGTAAAGTTTGGGATTTTCAGACCTTCAATAATATTATTTTCACATTTTTCTGCCAAATGCATATCACTGGTCAACAAGTCTACACCAGTGTTGCTATGGCAATTGTTATGTTTATGTTTTGTAGCACCATTCTCTTGATGTGGAAAACCACCTTGAGAAAGTTTTAATTTTAATTGACATTTCTCTTTTTTATTGTCATCATTTTTACAATTTCCACTGTTTTCTTCTGGTTTCCCTGAAAGGGAAAGATTCAAGTTTTCTAGATTATCACTAGTTATCTCCTTTTTTGAATCGTTTATATTTTTGTCTATTTCTGAATCAAAGCTCTCTGCTCTTTTCAGAGAACCATTATTCTCCTCATCTGTTGTGATTTCACTATCCTGACTTTCCTGTTTTTTAATTCTATCATCCGGAACAATTCTCAATGCTTCTTCCTGATAAGCATCACTCCAGCTAACGGACTTACTCTCAATTCCACCATTTTTCTTTGGATTCACAACAAACTCCTTATTTTTCACAACTCTCTTTGGACGTCGATCGACACTAGGAGGAGACTTTCTGTCAACATCCTGTAGCAGTGTTGAGGAATTTCTTGATGGTTTTTCACAACTATGATTCGGTGATGAAGATGATAAATTCCTTTTCCTCCTAATCTGATATTCTCTACAAAAAAATTAAAGAAAGGCTAATTACATTTATGGTATTACCTTCTCATTTTGTAAATCATGATGTATCAATATTGATACAAATGGTTTGGTTCTTTCTTTGGTTGTATTAATCTAATTATACTACAAAAATACTCATTAAAACAATCTTTATGACAGAAGTATTTTCAGAAACATTTTTTTCATTCAAAGGGTAGGTAATATAAAGGGTCATTGTTAGGACACAAATATATGAAAAAGGGGGGCGAAAGATACCAGAGGGACAGTCAAACTCATAGAAAAGAACAGCAAGATTTTTATAGAAATATTTCATTGAGATCAGATATTCCTTTTAGATCCTACTTTTACCTCACTGATTAGATAATCTATTGAGATTTAATATTTTACTTAAAGATTTGATATCCCTTTGAGATCTTTGTACTCTATTGAGATTTGATATCTCTTTGAGACCTGTGAGAAGTGAGACTGGGATACAACTGATGTATTCTATTGAGATATATTTTACCTTATAGATTTTTGCTTTCCCTTTGAGATCTTTGTACTCTATTGAGATTTGATATCTCTTTGAGATCTGTGAGACGTGAGACTGGGATACAACTGACGTATTCTATTGAGATATATTTTACCTTATAGATTTGATATCCCTTTGAGATCTGTGTGAGACATGAGACTGGGATACAACTGTCGTTGAGTGAATGTAACCAAGAAGTAACATCAATACTATAGGGAAAAATACTTCACTTAATGTCAGCTCCTACAAAAGATAAAATATAAAAATATGTCAAACGTCAATTAAATGAATTTGTAGTTAAAAATTACTTTTTTATTGCATGGCCACACAATGTTCATGCATGATGTTTGCTTTAAACCAGATGTGTTAGATGTGTTGAATGGCCATGTCTGCAGTCTTGATGAAAAAAGTAAAAAAACTCATACAAAATGTGAACTTGACCAAATTTTTATGACCGCAAGGCCAGATCTGCAGGCATTACCAAAAAAAATAAATATCTTAATAGAAATTTTTATGAACTGTTTTTTTTTTAATTCCAAGGGCTGAAATTTTACCAAAAGTCATTCAACCACATTGAAACCTATACTAGGTCTGTAAGTAATCATAATACACCTATGTACCCAAAAATAGACTCCAGACCTGCAGGCATTACAATAACAAATTTCGGACAAATGCTGTGATCTAGACATACTTGGTCAACTGGAAAGAAATGCAAACTTAATATGTTTGTCTGGAATAAATGAAGATGAACTCTGAAATACTAAAGCATAAAGCTCCCTTGTTTGTATCAGGAAAAAAAAGTTGGAACTGGTTGTCTATTCAATATATAGTATTTTTTTTAAGTCACATAATAGTTACTTACGAAGAGGACATTGTCCTAATATATGAACTGCCCAAGGGACAGTAGTATTAACTGCATCATTGATAATGCTTTATCCTGAGGAGAGGGCATTATCAATGTTGTAGTCAATACTACTGTCTAGAGAATACAGTCTATCTATAATGATAATACCCTTTCATTGGGAGCTATTTTGTTTATTCATTGAAGAAAGTAAATATCTAAAGACAAAAAGGGAAGTAACTCAAAACTGAAATCACTAGTTTTCATGATACTGCCTGATGACTTTTTATAAAATGACAAATGACTATGCCTACACCATTTTGTACACCAATAATAAGTTGAATTAAAAAAAAAGTCTAATAAGATTTTTTTTTAAATGAAATAAACCATACTATTGTCTTATGAAGATCCGTCTTGTATTATAACTGAATCAATCTGATTAAATACAGAACCTGTGTCCAAGCTTTGCTAACAATGCAAGGATCTGTTAACACTCCATTTTACTTTCTATTCTGGTAATTATTACATCAGCCAATGGAATTAAACCTTCAATTTTTGAAGGTGCATATTACTCAGACAAAACCAGAGGATCTCGAAAGGCCTTGTAAGCAGAGCTTAAGACACATAATCTGTATTCTAATCAGATTGATAACTGAATAAAGACTTACATCTTGAGCTAACTTAGCACCCACATTCTGACAAAACACAACAGTTGTCAATAATTGTAATGTATACAGGATCAACAGGAAGGCAAAAAACCTTTTGGATGTCTGCTGTAACCACCTAAAGGAAGAAAAAACTCAATAGTTGTCATTGCTTTCAGTATAAAAGAACAAAAAATATCTTAAGGTTGGTGCTCACATCTATTATGAAAAGCTGCCAGAAGTTTACCAGTATATCAAGAATTTTTACAATTCTTGATTAATTGCCTTTTCCACATGCTAAATGATAATAAATAACAGATTTATGACACAATAAGATTTTCAAATTCAAGGAGCCAAACAAATGCCCATATCATACCTCCACCTTTGCTTTCAATTACTGTAAACCATCAACTTTTAGCAACTGATTTATACTCTTTGGCACGTAGAAATTAACTTTAATATAAGTTGTCATGAATATGGCAAACTTTAATCTTTTCTTATACGAATGAAGTTAAAGACTTGCAAAAGATAAATCACTGCAAAATTGGCAAGAATAAATTAAGGGTGAAAAAGTATCTGCAAAAAATAATTTGGTTAGCAGTATACAATAATCTTATTGGGGATTCTTTATTTGCTTACCATTTATAATGAAAGGGAAAGAACAATACACGACTTATAGCTTTGTGTGCTATGTACGTCCATGATACCTGTGGCTTGGCTCTCGTAAATGTGGAACCTAAAATATAAATTTATTTTATGTATCTATCGTAAAGGCATCTTATCCATCCTGAAGCTAATTTATAATGTAAAATGAACAGTGTTATATATAGATATAGGAAGATGTGGTACGAGTGCCAATGAGACAACTCTCCATCCAAGTTACAATTTATAAAAGTAAACCATTATAGGTCAAGGTACAGCCTTCAACACGGAGCCTTGGCTCACACCGAACAGCAAGCTATAAAGGGCCCCAAAAAATGACTAGTGTAAAACCATTCAAACGGGAAAACCAACGGTCTAATCTATATAAAAAACCGAGAAACGAGAAACACTTATGAACCACATCAACAAACGACAACTACTGTATGTTAGATAGTCCATTCAAGTGCCATGTTCCATAAAAAGCCCATCTGACAGAAACAAATTCACTACATGTAATGCAATATTCCATTTTACCAAAATAAAAAAAACATGTGCTTTTTACACTTGAGGATCTCCCTTGTTTTCATGTGCTCACTTGATACTTGCAATGGTATTAATATGAATGTATCAGAATGCAAATCACTTATTGTGAACATGTATTAGGTGACATCTCCTTATACACTGGAATTAGTATAGGTTTACTATTTTAAGAATAAATTTCTATTACAACAGTAACAGTCATTACAGAGATACATTAATTTTTTACTTTTACCTTATCCTGTTCTTTAAAGATATTTAACAGAAAAATAGCTTTATAACAAGAATGTGTCCATAGTACACGGATGCCCTACTCGCACTATCATTTTCTATGTTCAGTGGACTGTGAAATTGGGGTCAAAACTCTTAATTTGGCATTAAAATTAGAAAGATCATATCATAGGGAACATGTGTACTAAGTTTCAAGTTGATTGGACTTCAACTTCATCAAAAACTTTAACCATAAGCTGGACAGATGGACGGACGAATGGACGCACAGACCGAAAAACATAATGCCCCTCTACTATCGTAAGTGGGGCATAAAAATTAACAATGATATGTTCGATAAAGATAAAAATAGAAACGTATGAAAGAATGACTGAATTACCAAATAAATAGAAGTGATGGAAAATTAATATCGAAATAGCATATTTTCTACCATTTCTACAAATTATTTTCATTTACTCCCTCTCAAAATTATTTGAATAATTGATGTAACTATAAACTTTTTAAAGTCATATGAAACCAGTTTTTGGTAATTATAATGGTTGAGGAAATTATTGAAAAAAATGGATGAATACTGGTATTTACTAAAGTAAGTCCTCTGCGCACGCTTTTTACATTTATTAGGAATCCATATCGAATAATGGACAAACAGATTTCATTCCTTGATCATGTTGATGTTTGTTCAAAAACATTGGCTGTTTATTGACTTTTTGTTTTTGTTTTGTGAAAGTTTAGTGATCGTGACCTTGATTAACAATGGTGAGCACATGTATAAGTGATACGATCGAGCAATGCTTATATTTTTTTATATTTTCCATGCATTCCCATTAGTAACTGTACTCAACCAGTATATTACCTCTAATTAAATCAACATCTATGAACTCAGTTTTGGCTCTTACTGATCTTCTTGGAGCATTTCTGATACCCTGAGAAGAAAAAACGCATACAATAAAAATCATGTGACGACTGTAAGAAAACAGTTTGGAATATTTGTTCTTGTTGCTGTTGTCTTTTTGTCAATATTTTCAAGATCAAAGATAGAATTGCAATGCGTTTTTTTTTTCTGTCATGTATTTTAGCTTAAGGTTAAAGAGAGACAGCACAGATCTTCACTGTACGTAAATATCTTCTTGCATTGTCTTGTGTCTATTTCTTTTCACTAAATATGTACATGTGATGAATGAATGATAAGTTTCCAACAGGTATACTGAACTAGTGTCATTAGGTCATGAGGCAACTGATTAGTGGTACATGCATTAAAATTCACAAGGGAATCCATTATTGCATGATTTTTTTTTAAAATAAAATTAACCCAAAGGCATGCTCCTTAAAAATCATTTGAAATTATTTCCTTTTTTTAATCTACTGGTTTGAACAGGGAATTTCTATATTTATATTCTGACATGTCATGAAAGCTACATGTGCATAAATTTATCTATCTCCTGGTCAATTAACTGACAATTCACAGATAAAGCATGTTTAAATTTGTCATTTAATGTTATGGATCATAGTTTGACTCTAAAATTATATTTTGACACGTTACTAATTACTTTACTTAAATTAAACAGCTGCTACCTTGTTATGCAGAGCTGGCCACTATATTACGTTATAATTGTAAATAACGGTCCTGGTGTTTTGTAGTGATATATCAACAACAAGTCAAACTGTGAGCTACTGCTCACTGATGATACCCCCGCCCGAATACTCATGATACTTGACGGTAAACATGAAGTTGTTGAGTGATGAATCTGAAAATGCATCACACGGTATAGCTGACTTATATAAACCCTGAAACCAAATTTCAGAAATCCTTGTAATGTACATGTAGTTCCTGTGAAAGATGCGATGAAAAATATTCATGGGACAGACTGACTGACGGATGGACGCACAGACAGACAGAGGTTAAACAGTATACCACCACTTTTTTAAAGCGGGGGTATAAATATAGTTTTTTTCACAAGAAAGAGTACACTACCACTATATATCATGAACACTAGTACTTTAGTTATCAAGTCAATACAAAAACCACACTCTGCCACTGTGACATATAAGACCAAGAATAACAGAATCATTAAGACTTGCAAATGACTTGCCACTGCAACAAATGTATTGCCAAACTAAGTTGACCTTCCCTAGCTAAGCAATAAACATTTCATTTGTCTAAAAAGCAGAATAATTCCCAAACACGAGACACCGAGTCAAACTCTCCTCCATATGTATAACCTGTCTGTATTTAATACATTCAATATTTTATACTTACCCTTAAAACTTTACGATCTACACTCTGTTCCCACAATTGTTTATCATGAAGACCAATCTAAAATGAAAACAGTATATACCAATTACATGTGTACTATATCTAAACTCAATCAATGTAATTATCATTTATTTCCAATCTTTTTAAACTACAAAATGTATTATTGAGGATAAAAATGCCTGTGCTTCATTTCCTCTCTCTATCAATCTGGTATGACTGTACGACAAATCAGTGTTCTCCCTAGATATTTCATATAGCATCCTGGTAAACAGGGAAATTTGAAATTCCATCTTGTTTCTAAAAATATAGCATCACATTACCATGATGCTAAAAGGCCCTGGGGAGAACACTGCAAATACAAAGTTTTAAACCGTTAAAGTTGTATTTTCTTTGCACATTCAAATCAACAACTTGTTATTCTTATTTTACCAAACTTATCCTTACAATTTTGAAAAAAATACAGACTGTGGTACAGATATTGATGATGAATGAAAACAGTTGCAAGGGCCTCTCTAGTGCTAATCTACTTAGAAAATAAGAGAATAAGTAGAAGATTGTATGTCAAACACTTCACCGATACCCTCAATAAGTTTTCTTTCAACTTATTGTTTTTAGTACTACTTTTCTTTTTCCTTATAAATTGTGGTTCAAAGTTAATAATACAAGTTCCTAAATAAATCAAAAGTGATACATGAAAACAATTTATCTCACCAGGTGTAGTTTTGTTGTATGGTCCTAATGTGCAAAGAAATCGTAAGAAGTAAATTTGTCAACATTGAACATTGCAGTATCATGCACGTAACTCGTATGAGTGCTTTGAGACAGGGTGTCTTTTTTTAATAGCATGTATAACAAATCTTTCATTACCTATTGTAAGCTTAACAGAATACTGTTAGCAATGATTAGAATATTGTAGTTTTTCTTTTTTTAGCAATTTCCTACAATATGCTTTCTTTAAGTTTGGTTATTAATGCATCTTTGATTGTCATTTTGCATAATGAGGTTTAAAATTCATGAAGTTATTGAATCAGAACAAATCTTACTACATGGCTGATCATTTCAGTGATTCAGTTGGACTTTAGGAGTTTTGGGTCAATTTCAATTAAAAAAAAAATCAGGACAAACTTGAAGCAGTTAAATAAATTTTCAAATTCCTTCCAAGCATTTAGAGAGATACATGAGATATAGGTAGGGAAATGTCATGTGACCTGTGTATAGCTGAATCACTGCAATGTATCAAAAATAAGGCTGGAATAATACATGCATTTGAACCACATCCACAAATAACAATGAATAATATATTGATCTGAACATGTCAAGTCTTTTGTTTTTTTTTTTTGAACATAACTCAGGTGGTAAGTTTTTACACTTGAATTGTTTTACATTTGTCATTTCAGGTCTTTTTACAGATTACTATGTCGTATGGGTTTCGCTCATTGTTGAAGGACGTATGGTGACCTATAGTTGTTTAGTTAACTTCTATGTCATTTAGTCTGTGGTTGAGAGTTGTCTCATTGGCAATCAAACCACATCTTCTTTTTTTTATATTATATACCTTTTTCTGATACCATGCTACAGAGTCATGAATTTGGTCCATTCCTTGATGGACCCCTTTTTTAGAAAGTCTTCATCTATCTGAACATGTCAGGTTTTTTTGTTTATTGTTTTGAACATAAATCAGGCTGTTAGTTTTTATGCTTGAATTGTTTTACATTTGTCATTTAGGGGCTTTTTATAGCTTACTCTATGGTATGGGTTTTGCTCATTTTTGAAGTCCCTATAGTTGTTAACTGCTATGTCATTTAGTCTCTGGTGGAGAGTTGTCTCATTGGCAATCAAACTACATCTTTTTTTATTTATTATATACCTTTTTCTGATACCATGCTACAGAGTCATGAATTTGGTCCATTCCTTGATGGACCCCTTTTTAGAAAGTCTTGCTTCAAGTTGTCTTGTCTAGATGGTCTCCAAATATGATGCTATGTATCTTCCTTTATTTCAAATAAAATTACACGTGAAACAATATACAGGTTACATGATTTATATAGTTGTTCTCTTAATTGTCTGATAGGACGTCCATTAAGTCATCCTGAATCTGAAATGTAATAAAAATAATTATCAACAATATTTTCTCACCAGTATTAGAAGAGAGGCAAAAGATACCAAAGGGACATCTAAACTCATGATCACTAAGTCGAAAAACAAACCGACAACGCCATTGCCAAAAAAAAAGAAACAGACAAACAACAGCACACAAAACACAACATAGAAAACTGGAGACTGAGCAACATGAACCCCACCAAAAACTGGGGTGATCTCAGGTGCTCAGGAATGGTATTACTAAGCAGATTGTCAATAGACATATCTAAGAGGTTTAACAAAATATGTCCATTGACAATTGTTTATCATGAAAACAGTTTTTTATGGGTTGGACAGGTTAGACACATTTACTCCCCAAATAGGAAACAATTTTTATCATGCTTATTAATAATTATTTTGAAGTTAAAAAGCCTTTTCATCTTTTGGAATAGTTGCTGCCATTTTCATGAAAGACCTCATTTCAACAAACATGACAAAGTTCAAATATAAAACAGTGTAAACTGTGGATTCAAAATAAAAAAAAAATTAACACTGGAAAAATATCCCTCACTGGAGCAGTTGAGGAAAAGTTACTATTATGGAAGCTATATCCCCCCATGTCCAACAAGCTTTGACGTAGAAAACTTCTAAATTTTTATAATAAAAAAATAACATGTCACATGGTGTGAATTGGAAATTGTCATCAAAAAAATATTACCACATCTTCTTACTTTTATCATGTTTATAATGAATGCAACATGAATTTTAGTCAGACGATGCTGGCTGGTAATTTCATTTGTTGATTCATTTAATATTCTGTTTACAAAATTATTAAGAGGGCAGACAAATCATAAACAAATAGGCTAAGGGACAAATTTGGCATTGTGAATTACATACAAGTTTTTAGCCAAACATATACCATGTCTTGTGCGAACAGAAAGGTTTATGAGGTCTTTTTAAGTGACCAATTCATTCACATGCAGGGATGATTCCACTATATAGTTTAGGGCCGCTTAGCAGCCCTAAATTCGGCCAGCGGTCCAAAAAAAATATTTGTAAATATAAATTCCCAATTCAAGAAAATAAAATAAAAATCGATATTTCCGGAAAAGTTTCCGTCTCCGATTTAGGCAACCATAATTTTTCATAGTTCGTCGTCAAAATGTTTTAAAATCCGGATAAGAATGCTGACTATGATCGCATTTTGTTAACAACGATTTAATTATGTCAACATGTGGTAAACAATTTTAGCAGTCGGATTCAATTGATTAAAATCTTATGGGAGTATTTGATCTGGTAAAAGCAGATCGCCATGCAGGTTTGTCAAAATGGGTGTCAAAGCAGACCTCGGCAGAGAGAAAAGTCAAATTTTTATATAACATTGATGACTAAATTGTAATGGGCACCGATCTCGCAAAAGCAGATCGCCCAGCAGAGCGGGTTATATAATTTGATGAAAAGTTGTTTTGTAAAAGAAATTATTTTAAAAGACAAAAGTTTGAGTGTTTTTGAAAATAATGTTGATGATAGACCATTCATGAAATACGATGTCATTATGGAACTGTTTCAAAAGTTATGAAAATGATCCAAATAATTTTTAAGTTCACTGGTTCAATGGCTTTAAATATCTTATCAATTAAGTATAAAAACTTTTGTAATTGCTTTTCTGAATTCGACAATTGGCCAGTTCAATTTTAAATCAATTTGAATCAAGGTAATTTATAAAGATGACCTGTCATGCCTGTTGAAAAAATACCCAATGGTCGATTTTTTTCAGTGGTTTATGTTAGCTGATATATATGTTTTTGTAATAGGCCTAGGTTACCATAGCTAAGATGATAGTGCATCATGTGCAATGATATTCATGTATTACAACTTTCCTGGTCTCAATCCAATAACTATCAAGCGGTCTGGTAATCATATCTCTGAGAATCATATATACCATAGCCCATCCAGAATTATTCAAAATGTTACAACTTCTTAAAACAGTCATGACAGTGTACAGGGGAAACTTAATATACATTTCCGTCTTAAATTTTATGCATAAAAAATTCCCAATTCTGATAAAAATTCCCAATTTGATGTTCAAGGGACCCATTTGAAAACGCCTAGAATCATCCCTGACATGATTAAGCAACTGTATACATTTGTACATAATACAGTCAGGGATATAACTCTATAGGGTTATTAGAGAAAAATAACATACATTTGTTATTGTGGACTAAAAAATCAAAGAACGGTGATCAGATATGTATGTTACATGTTTTAAATGGGGCACTATACATCCTTTGTTTTGTTAAAATGTATACAAGTTCTATTGATATTATTATTGTCTTTATGTATACTAAACATGCTAAACTATAGAAAGATATAACTCTTCATAGTTTGCCAATCATGCTTAGTACACCTATGTTATTACAGAAAAAATATGCCTGTAATACATGTAACTAAAGGGTGTTATTACAGCTTCTCTACATCACTTCAAAGCCTTTGCTCAGACATACATCATGCTTAATCACAATGTATTTTAATTTATTGTAAGAAATACTGATCAGAGCATGTAACGAGGTTCTGCACAAGCTTCCCAGTAATTCCCAAGTGTCTCATATAATAAGTTACATGCCTTTAATAACTAAGCCTTGTTATTACAGCTAAGTTTATCCCTTAAAAGCCTTGTCTCATTGATTTACCATTGTTGATGAAAAATGTATTAATTCGAAAATTAATTATCAATGCTATGTATTTAGTTTCTGTGCAAAGCTTTCAAGAATTCCCATGTGCCCACTAAAAATGAAAATATTTATGATTTATTCAACAAATAACAAACATGTGTAACACTACAGATTTAGAAAATTTAAGGAATAAAGAGTAGACAACTCATGAAAGTATCTGTAATAACACATGCAAGATATTTTCTCTAATAACCCTATAGAGTTATATCCCTGACTGGTATTGAGAAAAAACAAGGTGCTGATTTGCAATGCAAAACATTTTGGCCATGTTTAAGGATGTTAAAACCAATTAAACCATACTCGGTAAAGTCATTTCAGCCAAGAATTTTTATTATAAATATTATAATTCAGTGAGTCCAAGCCATTCATTAGGAGGCGGTACACGGTACTTTTACCCTCCTATGCTATTGATAAGTACCGCCTGAATTCAGAAATTTTTATATAAGATGTTCATTGAATATATAGAAAAGTACCACCTTCAAATAGGAATGTACCAGTCAATATGAACATAATGAAACCCCTTACATGCATTGTACAGTATAATTGTGTCTAGGAACAGACATGAACCATAGATATAATAGCCATAGATAAAGTACTCAGAATATATCACACTGAGCCCCATGTAGTTTCCTTTGAAATATCAAACGCACGGCACGGCGCGAAGTGGCCTGTGATGTAGATGATATCTGCCGACATCCTCCCAATAGACTAATTTCTTATCATAATTATATTTAAATTATCGGGCACGTGTCCTATCAGCTGATAATTAATATGCGTTACCTGTCTCAAGTAAAAATATGCCGTGAGGCGGTAGCAATGAAAAGCGTCTGGTTGTAAAAATTGTTCGGATTGTAATTTATTTGGAGAAAATCGGTCAACAAATAAAAAGGTTATGCTGTTGTTGAAATAATAAAATAGAGAAATTATGGAAAATGGACTTAACAGGCACGTAAAATTAAATTGCCATAGCACTTGCATCGGTTGCACTCGGGAAATAAGACCTGTATGATTGACAAGAGGAGACATATCAACTACTGATGGTATACGTGGTTAAGAGGTCGAACCTGGTCGAATTTTTCTATGGCGAGTTAAAGACAATTCTTTTTTATCGAGATTCAAAACAGTATAATCACATTTTAGACCAGAAAAACGAAATTATTATATAGAACACAAAAAAAGTGTTGAAACTTTCTGTCGTAACGGTAACACGAAGTTTTTGAAAAATAAAGAGAAAAATAAATGAATACATTATAAATTTTAAAACGCCGTTTGGTGAAGAAAACGTAAGTGGTAGACATACTGAATACATTAAATAATTGGGAAATAGCACAATTATCATGTCTCTGATTTTTTTTCTTTTATATATATATTACTTTTCCGCTTACATTTTTGTTGTTGCTTGTTTTGCAATTAAATAGCGGATGGTTTAATCTGATTGTCGATTTCATTTTTGAAGTAAACAATATATATCCTTCTTAGAATTGTGTTAGCGGTGTTATTCGTACTATAAATACGGCTATATAACCCTCCGTAAGTCTGCCCGTTTAGTTGTCAACGTACTTTTTGTGTACTTTATTTTTATAACTTCTTTGGTTTGGTATGAAACTAGTTGTGTATTTTCTATTACTGTGATTTATTATATGATCGTTGATTTCACAACGTTTGGTGGAAAATATTTGATGAATATTCAGGACTTATAAGAACAATGTAATTATACATCTATCACCTTGACTTGTATTTTAAGCACGTAATATAAACATTCCAAAAAAAATGATGTACCGGAAGATAACGATAACTACCGAACTTGTCCGAAGAATGACATATTACTCTCCCGATTCACAATTTATTAGATATCGATAGACGGCAATTGCCAATGAAGGCTAATTAACACCAAGCGTGACATGTATATAATAAGAGGGTGATAAAATTTCGGCAAATATCATCTGCTTTTGATGTGGGTTCAGTACTTTATCTATGGCTATTATATCTATGCATGAACAAATGTAAAAACACATAATTCATTAATCATGCAATTATATTTACGATCAAGAATTACTTATAAATAAAATCACATTATTTGAAAATAAATCTAGGAAATCTTAGAATATCACCAACTTACTTTTAATAATATCAAAACAACACTTCTTCAGCAACATTTGATAGTCACAATGCTTATGTTAATATGTCACAGTAAGAACTGATTGTTCGATGACATTGTTTACTGATTGACCTCGGGTCAACAGGTGTAATTCATTCATATGATAAAAATTAACTCAGATACATTTTGGTGTACTGTCTACTGAGAATAACAAAAACGAAATGCAGATAATTTTAACTCCATCAGCCATGTTAAAGAGTTATGTTATATATTTGAATACGGTCTAACTGGAGAGCTTTTTTAATACATCTTTTTACTGTTAAGATAATGTGTATGCTTTATTTCATATAGCTTTGAGAAGTCATACAATTGCATGTGTGTGTGGACAAAACAATCAAATCAGCAGCTGATTTTATGTACCGTTGTACGTGTTGCAGACACTTCATAAAATTAACAGTAATTTCTTATCTCAAGATTTTAGTTATACATATGTGCAAGTTACCTCTTTGAACAATACTTTCAATTAAAATTGTAAAGAAATATTCATATAATCATCTTATAAGACAACAACAGAGTCCTCAAATGAAGAAATGAACTTGACATTTTTGTTTGACTATGTGTACCTCTTTCACAGAAGAACTCCGAAAACAATTTTGGCGGGAGTTTTAAAATGCTATCAGAAACTCAAAAAACGCACTTAGGAGGGTGGTAATGGGGGTACCTTCATGACGAATAACGGTAAAAAATCTTGCCAAATGACGTTAACGGTAATTTTTGGTGCATGACGATAAAATGAAGACTTTCTTCAAGACGATAAAAAAATCGACAGATTTTGACGAATCACGTTAATTTTTCCCCAAAAATAACGGTAACGATAATTATTTGAGACCTCTGACGAATCACGATAAGGATATGTTGACGAATCACGGTAAAATGTTAACCAATTTGACGCTAACGGTAGCCGAAAATGTCCATTTGACGCCTGACGCATGATACCCTCACTTAGGGAACACCATTTGATTTCCGAAGGGGTTTAATAACAAGAAGGGAAATAATAGGATATTTTAAATAAAAATGACAGCAAATAACTATTTTCATTGTTTGATGTGCTTTTTTGCTAAACTGATAAAAATCTGATATATATAAACGATATGAAGATGTGGTATGATTGCCAATGAGACAACTCTCCGCAGGAGACCAAATGACACAGAAATCAACAACTATAGGTCACCATACACGGCCTTCAACAATGAGTAAAACCTATACCACAAAGTCAGCTATAAAAGGCCCCGAAATGACAAATGTTAAACAATTCCAACGAGAACACTAACGGCCTGATTTATGTACAAAATAATGAACGAAAAAAAATTAGGATATATGTATATATATATGTTATCAAAGACATATTATATGTGTTGACTTATTGTGGCTTTTCTGAAATAAAAACCTTATTCCAGGACACGTGTTCCGTATATCTAAGGAAAATCAGTAAACGGCAACGTCTGCAAGACCTGTTTATTCAGTTAAAAATGGTTATCTTGACAACTTGTGGACAGGGGTACTAGTTTAAACAGAGACATATCTACATATACATTGTACGTTGAACTGTCAATCTTGACCAATACTCAACGCTTTCGGTGGGCGCAAGAAAAAGAGTAATTTTATAAGATAAAACCAAAAATATATAAAGCAAGTACTAGTATAAAGTATGCAGCCAGGGTTTTCGATATCATAAACTAGTCAAAACATTTACTAAATTTTATCATCGGTATATAAGGACATCATTCGTAAATATAACTCAACATGCAGACATCTTATACGTTCGGGTATTTTACATCCAATCTTTTATGGTAATATTCTTTACAAAGCACAAAAATGTCAGTATTCACCTCAAAAGCTAACAAAACCTTTAAACAGACTTATTAAAAAGGGATATAGTTACGATACCGTTGTGCGGTCATTAAAGATTGCATATTTTGGCTTTAATATTGATTCACTTATATGGTCTTTGCATCGGAATTAACACATTTATTCTAAAACCAGTTGGCATGACACGGGTTAATTATGTTCTTTTCATATATTTCATGACAGTATAATACTAAACCCTTAACAGGAGGGATTGTGCCTAATATTCATATGATGAAAACATAATCTTTCAATCAGTTTAATTGAGGTCTGGAGCTGTCATATCAGTAACTGCTAGTAGTCTGTTGTTATTTATGTATTAATGTCATTTTGTTTATTCTCTTTTGTTTCCTATTCTGACATCGGACTCGGACTCCTCTTATACTGAGTTTTACTGTGCATACTGTTGTGCGTTTGTTTTTTTCTACATTGGCTAGAGGTATAGGGGAGGGATGAGATCTCAAAAAAACATGTTTAACCCCGCCGCATTTTTGCGCCTGTCCCAAGTCAGGAGCCTCTGGCCTTTGTTAGTCTTGTATTAATTTTAATTTTAGTTTCCTGTGTATAATTTGGAGTTTAGTATGACGTCCATTATCACTGAACTAGTATACTTATTTGTTTAGGGGCCAGCTGAAGGACTCCTCCGGGTGCGGGAGTTTCTCGCTGCATTGAAGACCCATTGGTGGCCTTCGGCTTTTGTCTGCTCTATGGTCGGGTTGTTGTCTCTTTGACACATTCCCCATTTCCATTCTCAATTTTAGGTATGATAGGAAAAAAATAAAATAAAGTAAAATAATAAAGAAAGGGTGTACCCATTTGCTTTTCGTTCATCTTGCCTGAACCAATCCGGCTTCCGTGACGGTACCAGGGAAATAATCCCCGCCGGCACAGCTCCAGTCCATCATTTGACTTACTTGGCAAGTGGGGGACTGAACAGACTAGAACGAGAGTGTTGAAAGCTCCCTCTCGAAGGATACCAAGGAGGGATCCTCAGCTACTGTTGCTGGTAAAACGTTCAAGACGGTCACTTTTCTTGGGAAAAAAACTGTGTTTGAAGCCATTACTTAGTTGAATATTGCCGGAACTTCTTGGTATGTGATGATCTTGTTCTTGATGACATTGGTGTTAGGTAAGTGTCGCATGGTATATCCACAAGATCATTAACCACTTTGTAGAGTAATGTTAGTTGTAATTTCACCCAGAGGCGGATTTAGAGGGTTTTCCAGGGGGCCGGGCCCCCCCTTTGTTGGAAAAATTTGGTTGATTATATAGGGAATCACTGAAGCATGACTTGAGCGGGCCCCCTCTTAGGCAGTCAGTGCCCCCACCCCCTCCTTATGAAAATTTCTGGATCCGCCACTGTCACCCTTCTGTTTTCCAATGATTCCCAGTCAAGTTCTTCCAACATGTTGCCCTCACTACTGGTGTTCCTATAGCGATTGGTGGCATAACGGGCTGCACGACGGTGGACCATTTCAACCTTTTTCACCTGCTCTTTTTGGTATGGGTTCCATAATGTTGCACAGTAGTCTAAGTTGGATCTGACCATTGCAACATAGGCATTTGTCTTAGTTTCACTGTTAGATGTTCTTAGGTTGCGTTTTAGAAATCCTAGCATGATGTTTGCTTTTTTGGTCACTCTATCGATGTGTTATTTCCAGGACAGGTCTGTTTCAATGTCAACTCTAAGGTACTTGGTACGTCTTGATCTTTCCAGCACTTGTCCCTTAAGCGTGTATGAGTGTTTTATTGGTGAGCGTTATCTGGTGGTAGTTTGTACACTGTACTTCTGTGGGTGAAAGTCCATGCCCAGGTTTTTTCCCATTCTGCAAGTTTGTAGAGATCTTCGTGTAGTATTTTTGTAGCAGCAGATGTTATTGTTCTGTATACTATACAATCGTCTTCAAATAGTCGTGTGTTGGATGTTATGTTGTCAGGTAAGTCGTTAATAAATAGGAGGAATAGTAACAGTCCAAGTACAGTCCCTTAGGGGACTCCTCTAACAACAGGAGATTTCTCCGAGGATTCTCCCTCAACGATGACTTGTTGGGTACGTTTAGCTAGGAATGATTGAATCCACTTGTGTGTTTGTCCTGTAACTCCATAATGCTGTAGTTTGTTTAGCAGGCGTCTATGTGGGACACGATCAAGGGCCGTAGAAAAGTCAAGGATAAACCATATCAATCTGCTCTCCTCTGTCTAGAGCTGATGCAAGCTCATGACAAAACGTGATGAGTTGAGTTTCACAGCTTCGTCTTTCTCTGAAACCATGCTGGCAGTTGGTACGTTTTTTGTGATTGTCTAGACGTTTCAAGGTGTTGCTGACAATGATGTGTTCCAGGAATTTAAAGCATAGACAGGTGAGTGACACAGGTCTATGGTTGCTGGCATCATATCTGCTTCCTTTCTTAAATATTGCAGTTACGTTTGCTTGTTTCCAGTCTTCTAGTACTTTGCCAGATCTAAGACTAGCATTAAATACAATGCATAAAAGGGTTGCTAGGTCGTCAGCACATTCCCTTAAAATTCTTGTTGGTATTTTATCAGGGCCGCAGGCTTTACCCGGGTTGCATTTGTTTAATAACATTCTAACGCTTTCTGTTGCGACTTTAATCTCTGGCTTTGGTGGGTATTGTTTACCTGTTGGCTTTGGTATGTCCTTGTTATCTTCCTTAGTAAAGACTGATTGGTACTGTCTGTTCAAGATGTTAACTTTGTCTATTGCGGTATCAAATAATCGTCCGTTGTCTTTTAGAGGGGCTATCCCTGTGTTGTCCTTTTATAATGATTTGATATAACTCCAAAAGCGTTTCTGTTTGCTGGGTTGGTCCTGGTGTTCATCTCCTACGTCTATGATGTTATTTGTGTAGTCCCAGTAGGAGTTACGCTCTGTCTTTTGTACCATTTACGTGTTCTCTTTGTATTTCCTTAAATCAGATGCTTGTCTCGTTTTCTTCATTCGGTTGTATAATTTGTTTCTCTTTCTTATTCCGGTTTTAACTTTTTAATCTATCCATGGTTTTCTGGTCTTGTTACCTCTGATTGTATTTTTTGGTATATGCTTCTCCATTAGTTTTATAAGACTTGTTTTGAGTTTTGTCCAGATTATTTCCACTGGTTGTCAATTTACTTCGAGTTCTATGAATTCCCACTCCATGTTTTTAAGTGCAGTTTTTATCGCATCAAAGTCTCCTTTTTTGTATGTCTATACTTCTCTAGGCGGGAGTTTGGTTTTGATCGGCCTCAGGCTGGACTCAATGTACACTGTTTCGTTGTCTGATATCCAAGGTATAACATATACTTTATTTACTAATGAACTGTTATTGGTGAAAAATAAATCGAGTATGTTCTCACATGTTTCTGTAATTCTTGTGGGTTCCATGACGACCTGATTCAGGAAGTGATTTTTACTGATGTTAAGTAGTTGATGTGATGGACCTTATTTTGCTACATATTGTTTTATGCTTTCATCTTCCCAGTTAATGTCGCCAAGATTAAAGTCGCCCCAAGCCATACACGTGATCCTTCTGGTATTCTCGACAGGTTAGTGTGGAGATAAGCAAGGTATGCAGTGTCATCTGCATCTGGAGGTCGGTAGAATGATCCTACATAAAGGTTGTTAGTGCCTGTTATTTTTATTTGTATCCATAGGAGTTCACAGCTGTCATTTATTTTTAGTTCTTCTGGTTCCGAGCAAGATGGTTTGATGTTAATATGAATACTCCTCCTCCATGCAGGACGTGTTAATTTGTCCTTACGAAAAACATTATAATCCCTTGACAAAATATAATACATAATAATGTATTTGTTTATATCTCTCTGGTTTAAACCACAATTCTGCTTGGAAATTGTCGTTTAAAATTTCCAACATGCATAATTTCATTGAAAGAGGATTGCTCCATACAAGTCATCCAATATGTCCAGTTGACAGCTTTACGGACGCCACCATGATTTGCATATGGTTGACCAATAGCTATAACTCCGCTGTTAATGTATTTTACCAAGAGTAACCCGACGAGTGTCACTATTGAAGAGGCCCCTCATGCCAATATAATCACATAATCATTAATTATTTTTTTAAACAAGATAATCAAATAATCAAAAATAAAGTCCTAGATTATCAAATAATCAAATAATCATAAAATATTTGGTCTTGTAATCAAATAATCACTATAAAAACGGACAAGTAATCACATGATCAAAAACCCCATGAGGAGGCCCATTGAAGCAGGGACTACTGGCCTTAATGAAGCAGTATAGATCACACCGGTTTTAACGGCTTTCTTTTTCTGCATGTTCTGTGTAGTGTTTTGATGACTGTTGTTTGTCGTTTCGTCACTTTTCTGTTTTGCCTTTAGTTAGTGTTGTCGGAGTTTTGCCTTTAGTTAGTGTTGTCAAAGTTTTGCCTTTAGTTAGTGTTGTCGGAGTTTTGCCTTTAGTTAGTGTTGTCGGTGTTTTGCCTTTAGTTAGTGTTGTCGGAGTTTTTCCTTTAGTTAGTGTTGTCGGAGTTTTTCCTTTAGTTAGTGTTGTCGGAGTTTTGCCTTTAGTTAGTGTTGTCGGAGTTTTGCCTTTAGTAAGTGTTGTCGGAGTTTTATTCAACTTATGGCCTTTGGTCGAGATTATCATTTTGTCTCTTCCTACTTTTTTCAGAACTTTCATTGTCTTTATTATGACCATGTTGATTATTACAGGAAATTCATATTCAAAATAACATCAGCCAGATGTTATGATAGGATCTTTCTTGAATTGACCGTTTCCTAACTTTAAACATGTTATCATTTTTAAAATTTGGGTTTGAGCATTCCCGAAGGAAAAGAAAATCGAGAAAAGCGCTTCGGACATGCCAGATTTAAAAAAAGTGTTAATATCTTCATTTTTAGCACTGGATTGATACCACTACTAGTACCCGACGGTATCCTCAGCTCAATTGCCAGTGCTTCGGATGTTGACATGGTTAATAACACAACGTTCTTTCTTTATTTCATTATTGATAAATTAAGAAATTACCAAGAAACTAAGGTTTCAGTTCGATTTGGTCATCATGTGTAAGTACCTTTTGGTCATATACCCCATCATTTATACAATTATTTATATATATTTATTTAGATCATCTGAGTCCTTCTCATATTTTCATATGATTTCAGTTTGATCATTCTGTATGGTTGTGGTTATTATGTTTATTTGCTATTTAATCCAGGACTCATTTGTCGTGACCAGAGATTATAACAGGTTAATTCCTAACAGTCTGTATATCAACTTATAAATTTGCAGTTTCCAATGTAATATTATTAAACAACATGGGTCAGTTGCCTTGTATCTTTAATGAGTTTTATGGTCCATTTTTAAAGTAATCTTTAAAATCATAGCTAAAGGTATCTATATCAATGCAGATATAGATCAAAAACTTGTATTTTCACTATACCTTACTGCTAATTCTCTTTACCATGTACCAATGATAGTATTTGACGTGATTACCTATATATGCTGTACGCCGAACCATGAAATCATTATATTCTCGATGCTTATTGAGGATTAAAGAGCGATACAAATAAAATAAACTTTTATGAAGTAGTATAGATCAGAAAGAATTTTCAGGCACATTTTTAATTACTTGAATTTTTAATTCTCATTTATAGACTTCTCCCTAAATGAACCTTCTTCCCTTAACTAGGGTAACAAGGATTTCATTTTTCACCTAAATGAAAATAACACTTTTAATAAATTTCGTGCGCTGTTCAGGATTTACCTTCATTAGGAACTCTCAAACCTGATCATTTGAAAGCCAGATATATGCATAAACATGCGACAACATTAGGACACAAAAAGAATAACCAAATTCTTCTTACTCAACTTTGTATTATAAACCCTTTAAAGAATTTTAAAGCATTCAATATTACTACTTTACATAGAGCTTGTTTTGTTTAAAGCTCATTTGCAGTGTGCTGTTTCTTTGGTTTCTGTTTGAGACAACTAAATTTATTACACACTAACCTAACAATTTAGTGAGGTATTCTTGTTCCGACGATAGAGTAAAGTAAGATAAAAAATAACAAACACACATAAGTTTCATTTTTCATGATATCTGATTTTTTTACATTTTATTTCTCTTCAAAGCAATAAATAAATTGTAGCTGAAGACGTTTGATTAATTTATTGAAAATGGGAATTTCACAATTGGACCTCAAATGTACATCATGCACCCGTATATCGTAGCCAATTTACAACTATTTGTAAGAATAGTCTCATGGTTATATGAACAGGAGGTTATTAAGAAACCCAATTTTTCAGTATATTGAGAATAAAAAGTATCTTGCACTACACAGAAATGCTTTATAGAGTCGTGAATATTTTCGTACAACAGGATAAATAAAGTCTGCATGGTACGATATAAACTGTTAACCTTATATAAATCACTAAATTCCAGCTCAATTTTGCATCTTTATCAAAATACATTACGAAGCATGAAAATGTGACACATATTAGTTAATTTCTGATGAGACAAAATGTATAGGAAATGTCTGCTATCCAACACAGATCAGGGTTAATTTTCTGCAGCATTCATTTTTTATGGCGTTAGGGTACGATAAGGGTTCATTATTTTGTTGCCTGAGAACTGTTGGATATAGTTCAGTAACGCTGAATTCTATATTAGATTATTAAACTATATATAGATACTTGTGTGTTACTTATAAGATAACACCAATATATATCCTCCATTTCTATGTTTAGAAACAAGATAAATATATAGAACAGGTGAAAAAGCTAGACCACTGATTTGTGAGTAAAAATACACTTGTAGTCTTTAGAGTTTACTCTGATGTGTGGATCCTAAATATTATTTTGTTTCCATGACATGACACAACGAAGAAGGAAGGACCAATTGACTGAATTTATTCCATACCGGTTATAAAAATTTAAAGTACGGCGGTTACATATGTGTGTGTGAGTGTGTGTTTCTTTTTATCTTATAACATCATTATCATGTATGTGTGAACTATAGCATATTTTGAAGGAAAAATTTATATGGAGACAACTTTACTTGTTTCTGACTCCTATATAACTATTGCAGGTGTATTATATTGTTATGTGATGATTTATCTAAATAGATATTGCTTAAACTAAATAATATGACAAATATTGCAGTTTTGAAAGATGTTGGTGATTTTCGAGTATGTATTAAAAAGTTATGGGAATATCTTTCCTATTAAAACCGAAGTTATATCACAATTGTGCATTGTCTTTCGGGTACAAAGTAATTTTGTTTTGGTTCATGACGTCCTCAGATAAAACTTTTAAGAAACATGTAACCCTTGCAATTAGATAGTTTCCATTCCCGATTATAAAATTTAAACAAAGATTAAACCCTCGGTAAGCCTCGCACTTTGAGAATTGAAAATAAACTGTTTAAGGTAGACAATTTCGTATCCTATTAGATGCAGTGATTTATTTCACTTATTAAAACTGTTTATTGTCATGAAGATAGAAACCGCCTCGATGGTCACTTGGTAGCGTTCTCGTCTCCAGTGCGGTAGGTCATGGGTTCAAACCCGCCCGCGTAATTCCAAAGGAATTCATTATTGGTATTTATTGCTTTTCCACTTAACACGCGGCGTTAGGGAGTTATAATTAACAAAGACTGGTCGGCTCTTAGTTAGAATATGTCCGATAGGGTGACATGTCTTTTTGCGGACTGCTTATTTGTGAACTATCTCGGAAAAAGTTCGACTCAGCGTGTCGGTCTAGTACAAAGTAAGCAAAGCACCTATTCATATCGAATAATCATGAATATGCATTAATTTGAGGTGAAAGTTCCACTCTTTGTGCATATTCGATTTGCATGTATGGGTAATTCATTCCCTTTTTTGCACACTCGCTTTATGTTCGGTATTTTTTCTTCATAAAAAGGTTAAAAATATAATATTGAGTCAAGTTACTGTTTTATTTTCTAAATGCATTGGCCTTATACAATATCAGCCACCATACATGTGTATTGTTAATACGAGTTTGAATAGATCTCGTGTATATATCGAATGCATGATGTGCATCAAAGACGGGATATCATATATTGCCATTGCCTAGTATATGAACCTGTATGTTTCTCTTATCTTATTTTACAGAAATTATTCCAATGGCTCTAAAATGGGGGATATGCAGTACTGGAAAAATCTGCAGCGATTTTTGTTCAGCATTAAAAACCCTACCATCAGAGGACCATCAGGTTAGACATGTTACCATTATTTTCATGAGTTTTATTGTAATCATTTCTTTTTAAAGAAGTTTTGCATTTGCTATTTTTTAATGAAAAATATCGTATACTAATCGATTCAGTGATTCCTTTCACTTGTTTAACTTGTATAGTAATATCATGAATTAAGATAGCCCCAAGTCTCAGAGTTTGTTGCGTTTTGTGTATTTAATTATTGCCGCAACTTTAAACTTGGGTCACGTCCTTGATTCATTATCAAGCTTCGAAATTTTCTACATTTTTTATATATTTACCTAATGCATAATAATCCATAAGTTAAACTGAGTTCCTATTAGTCGGAATCAGCTTAGAAAAAGGGAGGTAACTAACTTCCCATCACATATTGTTTGACATCGATTATTGTATTTGCAGTAACTTATCTTTTTTTGTATTTATAAAGTGCTTATCACAAACAATAGAGCAAAAAAAAAAATATCTATAAATAGTGAAAATATGTACACCTGAATTTTTTCGTTTTTCTTTAGATAGTTGCTGTTGTTTCACGATCTCAAGACACTGCACAGAAGTTCGCGACTACATTTGACATTTCAAAAACCTACAGTTCATATGAACAGTTTGCAGCAGATCCGGAAATTGGTAATGCTATTGTTTGAAAGATTCACCCTTGTTAACGTTGGTTGTCCTGAACATGCATGAAATATTTGACACTGGGCGTTAAGCAACCAATCACCAATCAATCAATCACTCCTTTTGAAGGGTTGTTACAGCAATAGTCCATCCTTCGCAATAGAAATTTAAATAAAATTCTGTGATCCACAAAGAAATATCTAGTGATACATATGAAACTTATCTATCAGCAGTGAGCGTCGTTTTGAATAGTACGTAGTTGTTTGTTTAATTTCCAATTCAATTCTGTATAACAATGATGTCGGTGTGTAGTTTCCTTAATTACTTGTTGAAAGTTAAGTAAGATAATGGGATGTAAAAAAATATAACTTTTTAACCACAAATGCACATGCAATACCGGTGATACCATGCGACCTTGTCTGAGTTTCTACTGGAAAACATCACAATTTTCAGTTCGTAAATTATGATATCACAATCTTGTTAGTTATTCTGTTCCACTATCATTAGTTACAGGTTTTGGTCATTCGGCGGTTATATTGTACAACCGATCCACACAAACGTTACAATACAAGGTAAATACCTCACAAGAAATCGTCCGTGTTATTGAGTTTCAATTGTCCGAAGGGTTCTTCAAATGTATATTTTTTTATACCGCACGTGCGTTCGACTCCAATCGTATTTGACTAGGATTGTCAGTTTCCCTACCAACGGTCGGTGGTTCTCTCCGGGCACTTCCTCCTCCAATATAACCTGACCGCCACGAAATAGCACAATAGTGCTGAAAGTGGCGTTAAACACCAATCAATCAATTAATCAATCAAACATACCAAAAACTAGGGTTGGATGTAAAGTTTGACTATTGCTACCTTAATGCCAATTTGTGTTGTCGAATTCGAAATATAACTCAAAGTAACTTATATCTGTAAGTATCACAAGGCACCTGAGTTTGTTTCAAAGGGTATTATTATAGGATTAAACGACTTTTTAAAGGAATTTATTGGTGTATAAACTCGACCAATTCACTCACAAACAAATAAAAGTCCGAAGGACTTTTATGATATGTTTGTGAGTGACTTGGTCCAGTTTATACACCAATAAATTCCTTTAAAAATGCGTTTAAGCCTTATAATTCTTTGAATAAGAGATAAGGAATTTGATAACCTCTATTACACGTAAATTGTAAATTTGTGGCATTGAATTGACCTGGCGCATGAATAATTTTTTTTGGTTAACGACAAAAATATACTACATGAAATTTGGTTAACGACAAAAATATACTACATGAAATTTGCTATCTGAAAAAAATAAACTAAAAGAATATCTTATTTTCTTTCAAATAAATGTTTTGTGTTTATAATTTAATTTGACGATGAACGCGAAGTGAAAATAAATATTTTTAACGTTGAACCGGTTTGTGTTATTATCGCCGCCATCTTGTTTACATTGGTTACAAAAAGTAGTTCTGTCAACGTCGTCTATCGAAAAATAAACAACGTCAAGATCCACTACCGGAAGCCCTCTCGACCAATAATATTAACGTATTCCATACTATGCAAATCTTATAAGAACTATTCCAATCTGAAACAGGTCTTTCTGTACATCTCTCAGTTACACATGCCACATGTGGAGCAGGAACCGCTTACTCTTACGGAGCACCGTTTTGGTGGGGTTCTGGTAGCTCAGTCTTTAGTTTCCTATGTTGTGTTTTGTATACTGTTGTTTGTGTTTTGGTTGTTTTTTTTGGTTTTTTTGTCATGGAGATGTCAGTTTATTTTCGACTGATGAGTTTTAATATCCCTTTGGTATTCTCCATTTCACTTTTATGGTACATCGTGTATTGAGCATATACTTTTTTTGCTTGTAGTCAATTTAATAATATCTGCTATGTCTATTTAATCCACTCTTAAATGATGAGGTGCTGTTGTTGTCGTTCTTATTGTTTGTATTGCTAAGCAACTATCACCGAAATAGTCACACAAAATGATAAAATTTAAAAAATGCTTTTCCTTTTTAGAAATAGTATACATCGGAAGTGCACACACTGAACACGTCAGGTTGAGTATTCAAATACTGAAGGCAGGAAAGCATGTTCTCTGTGAGAAACCATTAGCAGATACACTTGAAGATGTCAAACTGGTTCATAATCTAGCCCAAAGAAAAACATCTCTTTTTTATGGAGGTATGTAGAATATATATAATTTGAGTCTCAATTAGTTATAGTTAACATTGTTTTGTACGGTCTTAAAAATAGAAAAATGCAGTATGATAGCTAATTAAAAAACTCTCCACCAGAGACAAAATGACGTAGAAGTTAGCAACTATAGGTTACCTTACGGTCATTAACAATGAGGAAAACACATTCTACATAGCAAGCTATAAAAGTTCCCGAAATGACAAATGTAAAACAAATCAAACGAGAAAATTAAAACAATTAAATAGATCAGTCTAGATAAAAGGATTAGTTCCAAGGTAGACACACGTATTTTAACTGCATCCAACACTTATATATATAAAGTTAAGAATTCAATAGGTTTTTTGTAACTTTATTGCGGTGTAAATGTGTTGACCGAAGCGCTATAAAATTACAAAAAAGAAGCATTCAATTCTTATAATTACATTTTGTATGTTACAACCGCGAAATTCCGAGTTATATCAAATGTTTCGTTTGTTTTCCTATGCATTGTTGTCACGTCATCACGGGAAGCACGTGTTGTCATTAATGTTGCATTTTACTAGGAAATAAAATCTTATTTTGGAATTGTTGTCAGCCAACCAAAAGTACCGTTTCTTATGAAACATACTTGTAATGTAATTAGTACACAATACACTGCATGTGACATAATAATACAATAGATAAATAATTACATTATATGTATGTTTCATTATAATACGTTATTTTGATTGGCTAACAGCCATCTCGCGTCATTCTGAAATTAACCTTCATTTCAAAATGAAATGTAACATTCATGATGACATATGAGCTTCCACAATAAAGTGCACAGGTAAATAAAAGAAAAACTTGATAGAAATCGTGTTTTCATGATCCTAGCAAAAAAATGTAATTATGAGTATTGAATGCTTCTTTTGGTAATTTTATAGGGTTGTAAAAGCGTTGACTGTGCGCACATTTTAGAATTTCATACAAAATGTAGTTCGGTCAACGCTTTTACACCCCAATAAATTTACAAAAAGAAGCATCCAATTCTTAAATAAGAATACAAACTCCATAAGTATCCCATATTGAAATTTGGTTTCATTAAGTGTATCACCCCATTTAATTGTCATTACGTCCAATGACAAATTAAGCTCAAATGAAAAGTTTTTTGGGTATATGAATAACGTGACACAAATATGAAACTGGTATACAAGAACAAGCACATACGTTAAGGATGTAGTCATTTCCGGTTTAGGAATTTTTGTCAGATGTTCGGACTCCTTTTTTTGTTTTTTGGGGTAAAATATTTTGTCCAAATTATTCGAAATACTAAGGATTTTCTTATCCCAAGCATAGATTACCTTAGCCGTATTTGGCACAACTTTTTGGAAGTTTAGGTCCTCAATGCTCTTCCAACTTTATACTTGTTTGGCTTTCTAACGATTTTGATCTGAGCGTCTCTGATGAGTCTTATGTAGTCGAAACGCGCGTCTGGCATATCAAATTATAAGCCTGGTACCTTTGATAACTAATTGCCCCATATCACCCACTTTTCTTTTCATAGAAGACTTCAATATCCCATAAAAGGTCATTGCCAAAATTTAAGCAGATTCTAGATTTCTTTTCTTACGATTTGAGATCCTAATAATGCCAAGGCTAAATATAAGGTAAAAGCCCAAATCAGCCTTTTCCCGCTTTTTTTTTTTAAATCAAATATCTCAAAAAGGTGTTCCATAACCTATCAATATTTTTAGCTTATTTTGTTCCTTAACTAATGTTCTTCTGATTTATAGTATCAATTTTAAATTCCAGATTTCTTTTAATTTCACCTGACTAAATCCTTAAATATAGTAATACATAAATGATTGAAGCCGAAATAACAAGAATACTTAAAAGTAATTCCAAGTAATCACCCCCAGACCCCCCTCCCCCCTTTTTTCCAAAAAAAAAAGAAGACTGAAAAGTTACCAACAATGACAACTTTCCTGAAAAGCACCAAAAATGTGACAAAGATTGTTTTGTGTGTATACAACCCTCCCTCTTCACTTTAATCAGTAGAAATACAAATAAGTTACATAACTAAATGTTTCTTATGTAATACAAATAAATGACAACAGGCGGTATGGAGTCGCTGTTTCCCACTGTATCAAAGAATCAAAGAAGAAATTACTTCCAAGAGCATAGGAGAAGCTCAGATGGTGTCGGCAAGATTCTTCAAAAAATTTAACTATTGTGAACGGATTAAAACACAAATCAGAGGAGGATTTTTACTGGATTCCGGTATTTACACTGTACAGTTGGCATGTTTGGTGTATGGCGAAGATCCTGTATCCATTAAAGCAGTAGGCGAGGTAGCTGAAAGTGGTTAGTAAAATGAAAATAACATCACGTCATTGGTTAAATTTCCTTTGCGAGGACGTTTTTAAGCAATCACAACGTTCTGATGAACGCTTTTGAAAATATTACCCAGAATGCATTTGATTCTGAAACGGCGTATTCAAAAGGTTGTTTTCCTTTGCCCTTTAACGTTTTTAAATCGAGCGTCTCTGAGTCTTTAATAGACGAAACGCGCGTCTGGCGTATAAAATTATAAGCCTGGTAGATCTAATGAGTTTTGTTTACCATGATAATCTAATGTATAAGGCAGATGGGTAAGATGATGATTAACAATTTCGTTCCAGGTCATGACATTGATGGCTGTATAATTTTATCATACAGCAAAGGTCAAAAGGCGTGTCTGATGTACTCATCAAAAGTTAAAAGAGACACAAACTGTGCTTCAATACATGGTACCAATGGTTCAATTGAGGTACGTTAACTGACATACGGAATTTGAGAGAGAGAGAGAGAGAGAGAGAGAGAGAGAGAGAGAGAGAGAGAGAGAGAGAAACCCTAATACAAATATTTAACACCACTAACTAGGGCCGGGGCAAAAAGAACATACCAGAAAATAGTACATATTTAACACAAAAAAGTTCCTACGCATAGGTGAGGGTGTGAATGCCCTTTACCGACAGGCGTCAAACGGTCATTTTCGGCTACCGTTAGCGTCAAATTGGTTCAAACTTTACCGCGATTCGTCAACATATCCTTATCGTGATTCGTCAGAGGTCTCAAATAATTATCGTTACCGTTATTTTTGGAAAAAAATTAACGTGGTTCGTCAAAATCTGTCGATTTTTTTTATCGTCTTGAAGAAAGTAATCGTTTTATCGTCATGCACCAAAAATTACCGTTAACGTAATTTGGCAAGATTTTTTTTACAGTTATCGATCATGAAGGTACCCCCATTACCACCCTCGTAGGTGTAAATATCAAACTATATAGAATACATTTTGGTAATTTATGTATCAAATGAATGGTGAAGGACTGGTGATCCTTGCAGAACATCTTTTGAATGATAATTTTGATTAATACAAAAGTGTAAAAAAAGTATGTATCTTCAAAATCGCTTATCTAAAAATACTACCATCGCTAACTTTTTTAACAATAAAAATCGTGGTTACCCTTCTATCGATAAGTGTCGTGCCAAAAAATGACTTACATGTCCCCGTCTTTCCAACAACAATACGGTAGGGTCTACGTTTAATGGTCGCACATTTTCTTTAAATTTTGAAACTGATATAACTTGAAAAACAAACATTATTATTTATTTACTCACATGAAACAAACCGGGGTGCGGTATTCAGTATGTAGGTGAAACTGGACGATATTTATCTAAACGCACGCAAGAACACCTGTATCGTTTTAAAAGACCCAATAAATTCAAAAGTATCATTTATCAACATCTTAAAAAGCACAATCATCCTATTAAATATTTAACAGTTCAACCTTTAGAAGTAGTAAATAAGCAGCCTGGTGAATCTCATTCAAAGTTTGTACGATCACGGAAAATAATTGAATTAAATTGGATTAAAAAATTACAGACAGTCTACCCTCTCGGTCTTAATGATAATATCATGGGAACTGTTAACATTTTGGATATAGTTTCTAAAACTGTTCGTAAAAACCGTTCTCATGGGCGTAGAAAAATCGCAATCAAAGAAAATTTTGGACCAACCATACAAATATTTCGGACCTAATTTCTATTTCAAAAAACAACGGCAGACATTATCTATTAACCAAGCTCTGTTCTTTACCTATAAATAAATTAAATAAAATTTTAGAGGATTGCAACACAATTTCATATTGCAGTCCTAAGTATGAAATCGTTCAAATTATAATGGCATATTGTTATTCTAAACTGTTTCCCAAAATTGATCGCCCTGAAGATCATAAAAAACATTTTATTAAAATAAAGTATGTCAATCAAGGTTTTGATTTTGTAAATATTGCCGGTATTTTTAACGACCATTCTGTTAAAGAACAAATTTCTGGATATTTTGATAATACTGAACTCCCTCTTATTTGTTATATTTACAAGAAATCTACCCGAAAATTTGTGTTTAATTATAGCCAAGTCTGTAAAGATGTAAATATCAGTGAAAATACACCTACGTCATGTAATTGTAGTAATTCCGAATACACTTATGACCCCATTTCCCATGTTATAACAGGAGACCTTAACATCGTTCGCGACCGAGAGCTAAAATCATTCCTCAGTAAAGGACCTAAATATCGTCCCCCGCCAATTATTAATTGGAATGAGTGTCGTAATATCATCCACGACTCACTTCGTGCTTACTGTTTGAAATGGATAAAACGGGAAAAAGCTGACAAAAAATCTTTGGACTCTTTTTTTTTAATTCAGTAATGAAGATAGTTGATATACGTATACAACATTTTAAAGAACATTTTACTCTTAACAACAACCATAAAAATCCTATTTCTCGTATCGAACATAAACTAAAAGAACTAGCCAAGGAATTTGTTTTTGTCCCGGCTGACAAAGCTGCTAATAATATCATTATAGTTTGACGTAAATTTTACATTGAGGTTCTGCAAAAGGAAATCACAAATTCACCAACATTCCAACTGACTTCATTTTCAGAAAACGATATCTGTAACAAACATAAACTATTAGCTACTTCTTTACAAGCAGAACCAAATACAATGAAAGTCCCAACTATGTACTGGCTTCCGAAGCTACACAAATCACCTTACAAATATAGATTTATTTCGTCTTCAAGTCATTGTTCCACTACTAAATTGTCTATTCTACTTACTAGTACACTTGGTACAATCAAAAACCAGATAATAAATTGTTCAAATAAGGCCTTTGAAAATAGTGGAATTAACTACTTTTGGAGTGTCAAAAACTCGTTGGAAGTACTTGATAAATTGCATGCATATATTGGTGATTTTGAATCTGTTCAAAGTTTTGATTTTTCTACCCTATATACCACTTTGCCTCATATTCTTATTAAGAAAAAATTCACACACCTAATTAGATGGGCATTTAAAAAGTCGGAATGCGAATACATATGTTCAAACTCTTTTGGGTCATTTTTTAGTAGCAACAAACAAAAGAACTATGTCTATTGGACATGCTTTGATACTATATCTGCCCTTTAATTTTTACTTGATAACATTTTTGTTCGCTTTGGAGATTCCGTATATCGTCAAGTTATCGGAATTCCAATGGGGACTAACTGTGCACCACTTATTGCGGACCTGTTTTTGTATTGTTATGAGTTACAATTTATGACTAAAATCAGCAAAGACCCATCGAAACAACATCTGATACAAAAATTTAACAATACTTTTAGATATTTGGATGATATATTGGCTCTCAATAATGACGACTTCAGTATGTATACTAAAGAAATTTATCCGGTTGAACTTACTTTAAATAAAGCTAATACTAACAATGACCACTGTCCTTCCTCGATCTTGATATCTATATCATTAACGGGAAGCTTAATACAAAAAATTATGATAAAAGAGATAATGAGATGATTTTTCATTTCCTATCGTTAATTATCCATTTTTAGATGGTGACGTTCCCTTGTCACCATCTTATGGTGTTTATATATCTCAACTTGTACGATTCGCTCGTGTATGTAACAACGTATTAGATTTTAGCAAGAGAAATTTATGTATTACTGAAAAATTATTACACCAGAGTTTTTGATATCATAAACTTGTCAAAACATTTACTAAATTTTATCATCGGTATAAGGACATCATTCGTAAATATAACTCAACATGCAGACATCTTATACGTTCGGGTATTTCACATCCAATCTTTTATGGTAATATTCTTTACAAAGCACAAAAATGTCAGTATTCACCTCAAAAGCTAACAAAACCTTTAAATAGACTTATTAAGAAGGGATATAGTTACGATACTGTTGTCAGGTCATTAAAGATTGCATATTTTGGCTTTAATATTGATTCACTTATAGGGTCTTTGCATCGGAATTAAACATATTTATTCTAAAACCAGTTGTTGGCATGACACGGGTTATGTTTTTCTCATATATTTTATGATGGTTTAATACTAAACCCCTAACAGGAGGGATTGTGCCTGATAGTCATATGATGAAGACATAATCTCTCAATCAGTTTAATTGAGGTCTGGAGCTGGCATGTCAGTAACAGCTAGTAGTCTGTTGTTATTTATGTATTATTGTCATTTTTTTTATTTTCTTTTGTTTCCTATTCTGACATCGGACTCGGACTTCTCTTAAACTGAGTTTTACTGTGCGTACTGTTGTGCGTTTGTTTTTTCTACATTGGCTAGAGTAATAGGGGGGGGGGGGGTTGAGATCTCAAAAAACATGTTTAACCTCGCCGCATTTTTGCGCCTGTCCCAAGTCAGGAGCCTCTGGCCTTTGTTAGTCTTGTATCATTTTTAATTTTAGTTTCTTGTGTATAATTTGGAGTTTAGTATGACGTTCATTATCACTGAACTAGTATACATATTTGTTTAGGGGCCAGCTGAAGGACGCCTCCGGGTGCGGGAGTTCTCGCTGCATTGAAGACCCATTGGTGGCCTTCAGCTGTTGTCTGCTCTATGGTCGGGTTGTTGTCTCTTTGACACATTCCCCATTTCCATCCTCAATTTTATGCCATGCTAAATGCGTAAGACTTCAAGTTTTAGCGCGATCTCTCTTTCCCATTTGTTGTATTCGTTACATATATAAAAGATAATAGAACTGACGGTTTATTTGGATGTTCAAATGACAATATTCGTCAAGGAGAACATAAAATGTATAATTTCATATAATGTATAAGCTATTTGTTGATTTATTGTAGGATTTTCATAATTATTTACTTTTTATCTTTTGAAGTAAGAACAGCATAGAAAAGTTTAGAATGATAGCGACTAGCCTCTTTTCATTTTGGTTTAGTGGTTTTTACTTAACAAATATTTTTAAAGATGTTAAACATTGTCAATTTTGCTTGATCTTATAGCATGGCATTTTTTTTTGTACAGATGAGCAGTTTGACAGATTGTTATTTCATTAATGTAAAGTGGTATACATTTTATTCAAATCCACGGGAGAAACACATTAAACAATGAGCAAATAGGAAGTTGTAACAATGTTAGCCTTTTGAGTCGGAAGGGCGGTAAATTTTGCCTGCTACTGATAAAGAGGGTATTTAGAACAAGAGTAGCTACTTATGCTTGCAATAAGCAAGTTGTGGACCTCTGAAAGAGTTTAAGCAATGGCATTTAAACATGTATAGAGCGAGACACTCTCAGTATAATGAGCCTTTGATTTAAAGTTCTCGTTGTGGTTCTTGTTGTCACACGAGAATGTCCTAACAACCAATACCTAAATCATCAAAACTCAAATTATATAAAATCATAAAATAAAAATAAAAATAAAAGGAGATGAAAAGTTATTTATCTATTGAAAATGGAACAAACGCAATAAAGAATAAAACCACTAATTCATAGCATCGATGCTTCCTATGTTAAATTCTCCGGTCATTTCTTGTTTAATCTAAACCGTATTCAGGCTTTGCTGAAAAATTCAACATGCCTTCAATTGAATATTAGAGCGCACTGGTGCCCGTAAGATTGGAAGTAGACAACAGGTACTTCTTTTCTGAGCAATAGGACAAATGTGCCCTCCAATTTTGATTTTATACATCTTTTTAATGTTTAAAGGAAACTTTCAACAAGGGTTCTACAGTGATCCATAGTCGTCTTCAAGCTTTCATTTGATACCAAAATTATCAAAATATTTTACTTATTTACTAAATTATGCGTAGAAACTATTTTGTTAAACATAATTATGTTCTTCTTTCTTGTATATGTTGTACAATGTATGCTACATATTCCATTATCACTGAACTAGTATACATATTTGTTTAGGGGCCAGCTGAAGGACGCCTCCGGGTGCGGGAGTTTCTCGCTGCATTGAAGACCCATTGGTGGCCTTCGGCTGTTGTCTGCTCTATGGTCGGGTTGTTGTCTCTTTGACACATTCCCCATTTCCATTCTCAATTTTACTCCTGACCAGACCCGAATTAGTGATTCTTTACCATAAAAGCCGAAAGACATCAAACAATCGACTTAGTCTTAAACAGAAAATGATACAAAGCTTGGTTTATCGTCGATAATTTAGTTTATGTTTGAATTATATTCATTAGAAACATCTATCTAATAATCAGCTTTTAACTATCTTATCCAAAAAAACGCTGATACCGTTATGGAAACAAAAAGTTATTACAGATTCGTTCAGTTGTAAAATCATGTATGTTGTACTTGATTTAGATAAACGATCATTTCTGGTGTCCAGAGGAAGTTAAATTACCATCCGGAAAGGAAACAAACGAAATACCCGTTGGTCCTGTACCATTCAATTATCCTAACAGTGGTGGCTTGTGTTATGAAGCAGAGGAAGTAAGAAAATGCATAAAAAGCGGTATGTTTTATGAAATTTTAGACATAACCAGCTTTACAACTCTTAAACAACCCAATTATACTAAGTTTGTACGATAATGAATTTGAAATAAATTCATATGTTGTCATTGATATAAAAAGAAGTAGTTAACGTAATAATTTGTTGATATGTATCAAATAGAGACAGTCAATTTACTTTCCTTCAGTTGCTCCCAAAACCATTTCCAATCAATGTAACATGTATTGCAAATAGAATCATGTGCAAAACAGTGTAGCCGAGACCATTGATTGGCGCGCTAAAATATCCCATTGACTGGGTCAGATTAGGTGAACGTTTGTCTGTAACACCCACAACTCACGACGTATTTATTATAAACATTTAAACTATGGGGTTGCCAAAGGGTCTCAGTATATATACGAACTACAGTGCACAGTATATTATATACATATTTTATTTGCGATCATAAAATGTACGAAGTCGTCCATTACTATGTAAATTGGGTCGATTAAAAAAAAAGCTGAATATGTTTCTGTTGCCAAGGGTTTTTCATAAGTATAGTAGTTAGGGAGCTACCATTTGATTTTTAGGGGGGGGGGGCTAGGATGAAATTTGAAAAAAATAGGCAGGACAGGAGTTTTGAGTAAAAAAAAAGTCAGGATAAACTGAAAAAAAGGCAGGACCAAATAGAGTAAAAAATAAAAAGGCAGGACCAAATTGAGGGAAAAATAAAAAGGCAGGACAAAATTTTTCATCCTAGCCCCCCCCCCCCCCACAAAAATCAAATGGTAGCTCCCTTAGCAGAAAAGATCATCAAACTATACATTTTATACTGAACTGCGGCCAAGCTTAGCGAAAGGTCGTGCACCATAATCAGTCAAACAAACTTTATTAGATTAACTCGTTAAGGAACGATCGTTTTCATTGGTCAATTTAAACCTTCGACCTCACACCTGCGAAAATAGAACACGCGTACTATAAAGCTGAATGGACTGATCAGTATTCACGTAGCCGGTCAAGGTCGTTAAAAACTTCCATCGTCGTATTCACGTACATGATTGTGTTCTTGATTATCCCATGGCAATTCTAGCTTTTATACATGTGCATGTAAAATTTTAAACTTTAATCTTAACAGTCACGTCGAAATATTTAATTCAACTGTCTCCTCTCAATTGGTTCTGGATTAAGGGAGCTACCATTTTATTTTGATTGGGGGTGGGGGACTTGGATGAAACATTTTGTCCTGCATTTTTTTTAGTTGTTATCTCTGTCCTGTCTTTCTTTTTTCAGTCTGTTAGGTCCTGACTATATTTATTAGTTTATCCTGATTTTTTTACATAAATCGTCATCCTGCCTTTTTTTTGTCAAGTTGCTCACCCTGCCTTATCTTTTATTCAATGGACTTGATAAACTAACGTTGTACTTGAAAAGAAACCGTACTTAACTACAAAAATAACCAAATTACATACTAAAGATATTGCTCGATTTTTATAGTAAATGGGTTTGTGTTATAAAACTGTCATGTTCATTATTCATATTCTTTCATAAGTTTTAGGATAGTGTGATTTTTTTTCTGATTTTAGTTTACTTGATTTTGAAAAAAAAATCCCGAAATTCTAAGTAAATTCAGAACATGTAACCAGCCATGCTTTGTTTAGAGAAAAAATGGAGATGGCAAACCATGGCACAGTGGAAGGAAATGTACTTTATAAACTCCAGCGATATACTTTCTTAATTTATAATTAACTGTTTTGCTATCCTCGGTTGAAAATTATATATTATAAATATTTAAATAGTTGCATAGAAAACAATCAGTTTTAAACAGTGTGGTTATTCACTAAATGTATTGATAAAAGGTGACTCCATTTTTGTACATACTTTTACAGTAGTCATCCTTAATTTCTTAATATTTCGTTTATAAGTTTATCATACATGTATGATTTTGTATTTCATTTTAATACGCACGCATGCCACACGTTACTTTGGCGGATAGTTCAACAATGTTATGCAAAGCTCTATTCTTACGGTATGAAATTAAAGGATCAATTTTCAACCAATTAAAATCGAAAACAGTACATTTATATAGTTCCTTATAAACTACGACATTTCTCACAAGTATTTATTTATTTTTTAGTTCCACACATGCAAAAATAAAATCTTCACCGATGAAACATTTCAAACCTTTTTACACCAACCTGCCTTCACTGAATTCATTTGAATTTCGTGGTGACCATGATAGTACATTGCATAGTACATCTATATTCACGTGCACACATGATACGATCTTTCGGGGACAATTTGCTCGTTTATGACACGTCATTTCTGAATGACCAAACGCTTAGCTACTTTATTTTCGTTTTATAGCATGAAAACAATAAAAGAGGAATGTGCAACCCATCATAAATTTGAAATGGATCAGTATTATGAGATCCTTATTATAAGTAACTACGACATTGTCAGGATGATAACCTAGCGTCAATATGAAAGAAATAAAAGTGGTTCATACATTCATCCGTATAAAAGCGGCACATGTATTTTATTTTATCCTTATATTTTTCATAGTGCGCGGTACAAGTGCTGCATGCATAAAGAATATTACTTAACACAAATTATTAGTATAATATTTCGACCCCACTATTTGAAATTCACAAAATACTTATTTAATTATTTCGACCAAAAATCATTGTTTTTTACGTTCGTAGTAACGTAGTACATTCCATTGTCGGTCACCTGTGTCAATTCACGTGCACACTACAATTGTTGATGTACTTAAATCTTTCGGCCAATGAAATGAGACGTTACAAGTTGTTTGTTTGTGATACGCCAGAATGTTATCAATGAATTATCAATCGCTAAACTTGAATGTACCTATTCAAAAACGTAAATGCAAATTTCACAAGGCTTAATCCAAATAGCCTTTTTTACTGTCTAATAACTTGCAAGTACGAAAAAGACAGGAAAGAAGTATATTTTGTCTATATGTTTTGTGTTTGCACACTTTTTAAAGTTGATCATGTATTCGTTCTAAAATAAAATTTTGACCAGATAAAAGTTAAAAGATGACATAATTAGATAACCGCAATTGTTAAATCGCTTTGACGTCCGAAAAAAAGATAATAATCAACACATCCATTGTAACTTTTAAAGCCAGTTAAATCCTTTTTTGCTGAAAGAACGTCCGATATCATAAAAATTCATTATCAAAACATAACAAAAAAAACAAGTAAAGAACGTTTAAGTATTCAATATAAATCAAAACACAAAGGTTATTCCTGATTAGTTTTTCGAATTATTTCGAGTTTTACTGTGCGTATCGCTGTGTGTTTCTTTATTCTACATTGGTTAGAGCTATAGGGGGAGGGTTGAGATCTCACAAAACATGTTTAACCCCTCCGCGTTTTTGCGCCTGTCCCAAATTCAGGAGCCTCTGGCCTTTGTTAGTCTTGTATGTTTTTTAATTTTAGTTCATTATATGTGTTGGAGTTTAGTATGGCGTCTATTTTCACTGAACTAGTACACATTTTTATTTAGGGGCCAGCTGAGGACCACCTCTGGGTGCGGGATTTTCTCGCTGCGTTGAAGACCCATTGGTGGACTTCGGCTGTTATCTGCTCTTTGGCCGGGTTGTCGTCTCTTTGACATATTCCCCATTTCCATTCTCAATTTCATAGTTTATTGAAACCTATATTTGTTTAACGGGTGATACACGAATTACAGACACCTTCTGATGCTTGTTGCATGAACCGACACATGCATTTGTCTGATGGTTTTTATATCGTTTAGTGTACCCGTTTACATGTATGCTTTTGTTTATGATTAATAACTCGTATTTTACTTGTTTAGGTAAAACTGAATATTCCCACTATACACATAAAGATTCTGAGATGGTTCATAAAATAATGGAGGAAGTAGCAAAACAGATCGGTCGAAAATTACCATATAAGAAGGACAAAAATGTTACAGGTGTTACTAATATATAGTAACTGAGTATACTACGTGTACGTCTAGTCATGAAAAATACCATATAATTTGGTTCAGCAGACGCGCAAAAACTGTAATAAAAATAATTGCTCTCGTACTATATATATATATATGAAGTAGTTACATTTGATGTAGAAAATTAAACTTTATTGACTTTTTGTGATAGATTTATCGCTATGTCTTATTTTCATATGTTGAAAACTATAAACCTGTAATTTTGTCACTCACTCTTTAAGGTTTAAAGGAAATTGAATTGGTAAATTTGTTTTTGTGCACAATTCTGTCTATAATTTTTAAACTTAAATGATAAGAGAGGCAAAAGATTCCAAAGGGACATTCAAACTCATAAGTTAAAAACAAACTGACAACGCCATGGCTAAAAAATTAAAAAAAATAAACAGACAAATAGCAGTACACGAACACAACATAGAAAACCAAATACTGAGCAACACGAACACCACCAAAAACTGTGAGTGGTCTCAGGTGCTCTGGAAGTGTAAGCAGATTCCGCTTCATGTGTGACAGAATAACAAATGATGACCATGTGCGAGGATATTTAGTAACTAATCATATTTCTTACTGGAAGCCATTTGTCCACTTATTCCAAAAAAGTTAGAATCATATATTCCTATGAGGTATTCTTTGTGTGTTTCGGATACAAAAGACAAATCACAGGAATAACATGGTTTAAAAATAAAAAGGAAAAAAAAAAAATCGTTAATTACCCTTAGATCGTAAGAAAATTGAGAGTTTCTGATCAGAAAGTTACGCTGTACTGTGACTTCTTAATTCATATAAAGACATCATAACAAATATGAACCATTGCAAGCTCAGCTCAAGCGGAATAAATGAAAAAGAGAGGCGAAAGATACCAGAGGGACATTTAAACTCATAAGTCGAAACTAAACTGACAACACCATGGCTAAAACATGTAAACACTTGATCAACTATCTACAGATAATCATGATCATAACATATTACGAATCCAATGAACTCCAAATAATGTAGGATCATGTATTTTGAATTGGTAAGCATCTTTACTTAAGTGGAAATATTGTTTCGTTTCGTCTTTTTTTGGGGGAGGGGGAGGGGGGGGGGGGGTTGCGTGGTATTGTTTCTATCTATAATCTTCTCACAACAGAAAGTCAATCCCAATTTCTCGACGTTTGAAGGTAAGGCTACCTTACTGCATAAACAAATCAAAAAGAGAGTTTTTACCATTTTTTTAATACAATTATGCAAGAAGATGTCAACATTCGATCGCCAATGGTCATATATACACCATCAATGTTTACGAGACAGTGTAGTCAAGCTGTTTAAAATTGAGAACAACGATCGGATCGAAGATCTCATCTTCTGATCAAACTATATGTAGACAAAGTGTATCAAAATAAAAACTACAACTACTGCAGGGAGTATGACCTATGTTTGACATTTTAAATTCTAAAATTATCACCAGGTACAAAGGTGATTTGCCGTAATATTTGTGTTATTGTGACTTTGTTGATTTTCTATGTTAATATATTTGAATTTCATTTTGATTTCCAACATTTGCGAGCCAAACTGCCAACAAATAAAAGAGAAGGAATAGGAATATTAATTAAAGACATCAAATAAAAAGCTTCTTAAGTATTCTTTATCCTTAAAGGAATTTGTTTAACGCTGTCAACCCATTTTGCAATTATTTCACCTTAAAACACCAAATAGTATAAGGCAATTATACAGCCCTTCTGTGAATGAAGTGGATTAAGTCTATTCGATAAAAAACCAGAGGATTGTACGTAATTTGTCGCCGGTATTATTCTCCCAAACTCTGAAAGATACAAGCGTGGTATTGTGAGAGACAAATATAAACAATAAGGGTCCACGTGAGGTGCATACACTAATCATAGATCTATGATATAACAAAGACGAAAAAAATGAAACAAGATACGTTGAAAGGTGTATTATTGTTGAAAAATAACATTAATTAACAGAAATATAAAAGTTTCTTTAAAAATCACATAGAAGATACCAGGCTTATAATTTGGTAAGCCAGTCGAGCATTTCGTTAACATAAGACTTTTAAGTGGGCTCTAATAAAAAAAGACCAGCTAGATAGCTAAATTATGCCTGTTGGATTGCCCATCCAGAGTATGAGCTTGTTTTAAATCTTGAAAAGATACTTAACAAGATAAACCAAAAAGGTACTTTATTTGGAATAGTAAGATGCAGGCAATACATTTTACACATAAACCAATTGATATAAAAATTCTGAATTTCTGACCGTATTTGTTGGTGAATAATCTTAACTTGTAGACACTTATTTATAAATAAAACTGTCTGTGATAGAGTATGGTCGGGTCATGTAATGGGACTAGGCGACACCGTTTTCGAGCTTGTCGTTAAATAGATTGACAACAAGACATTATTAAATAAAATATTATGTATATTCAATAACGACTTTCTTATACATGCTATATTATGTTAATATGTCTTTTGATTGAGTTAAGCCATTTCAATTGATATCTTATAGTGTGTCTTTCTATGTTGTGATGTTAAACTATGGTTTCAGATAAGTGTGAAGGTTTGGTACCATTTAAACGTTTAAACCCGCTGCAATTGTTTGCACCTGTCCTAAGTCAGGAATCTGATGTTCAGTAGTTGTCGTTTGTTGATGTGGTTCATAAAAGAGGGACAAAAGATACCAGAGGGACAGCCAAACTCATAGATCGAAAACAAACTGACAACGCCATGGCCAAAAATAAAAAGACAAACAGACAAATAATAGTACAGATGACACAACATAGAAAACTAAAGACTAAGCAACACGAACCCCACCAAAAACTGGGGGTGATCTCAGGTGCTCCGGAAGGGTCAGCAGATCCTGCTCCACATGTGGCACCCGTCGTGTTGCTTATGTTATTACAAATCCGGTAAATAGTCTAATTCGGTAAGTCACATTCGTGAAAAGGGAAGGGTATTGTAGTTACGACATAAGGAACATATCCAATATCATCTGTGAAACGGTTATTCCATAAAGGTCAACCAACTCGTGATGGCGTCCGTAAAATTTACGAAGGGATGATTTCAACTTCACCATTTGGAACTCTTGGCTTAATAGCTTCCTTGTGAGCAGCAATCCTCTATCAAGGAAATCATGATAGGAAACACAAGCCCGGGAATATCGTATCAATTGGGAGATATATACTCCGTATGCAGGCGCTGCTGGAATGTTGCTACATAGAAATGGAAAGTTCACAATTTGGAAGCTGAAATCATCTCTTTTGTCGTAAAAGTTGTTTTCAACCGACCCTCATTGTCAATTTCTAGATGTAAGTCAAGATATGAGGCAGACTTAACTATATCTGTAGTATCCTTTAACTCTAGTTCGATGGGATAGATTCGTTCAACATAGTCACCAAATTTTGTATTATTTAGTGAGAGAACATCATCTATATAGCGGAACGTAGAGTTAAAGGATATTGCTAACTTCTTATCTTTCTTCCTAAGAAGTTCCTGTATGAAGTCAGCCTCATAATAATAAAGAAACAAGTCGGCAAGAAGAGGGGCACAATTGGTTCCCATTGGAATTCCGACAGTTTGTTGAAAAACACGTCCTCCAAACGTAACAAATATGTTGTCAATCAAGAAATCAAGCATCTTGATATTGTCAGTTTCAGAGAATTCATAAGTGTTTCTCGTTTCTCGTTTTTTATATAGATTAGACCGTTGGTTTTCCCGTTTGAATGGTTTTACACTAATAATTTTTGGGGCCCTTTATAGCTTGCTGTTCGGTGTGAGCCAAGGCTCCGTATTGAAGACCGTACTTTGACCTATATTGGTTTACTTTTATAAATTTTGACTTGGATGGAGAGTTGTCTCGTTGGCACTCATACCACATCTCCTTATATCTATATACATGCTATAGTTGGTACTGCTTAAATAAAGATAATGATGACTTATACTGCGATTTTCTTTCTTTGTATCTGTATATAAATTCTTTAAATTATCAGAAACGGACAGCTTTCAATTTTCTTTTGTTTCCTATTCTGACATCGGACTCGGACTTCTCTTATACTGAGTTTTACTGTGCGTACTGTTGTGCGTTTGTTTTTTCTACATTGGCTAGAGGTATAGGGGGAGGGTTGAGATCTCAAAAAACATGTTTAACCCCGCCGCATTTTTGCGCCTGTCCCAAGTCAGGAGCCTCTGGCCTTTTGTTAGTCTTGTATCATTTTTAATTTTAGTTTCCTGTGTATAATTTGGAGTTTAGTATGACGTCCATTATCACTGAACTAGTATACTTATTTGTTTAGGGGCCAGCTGAAGGACGCCTCCGGGTGCGGGAGTTTCTCGCTGCATTGAACACCCATTGGTGGCCTTCAGCTGTTGTCTGCTCTATGGTCGGGTTGTTGTCTCTTTGGCACATTCCCCATTTCCATTCTCAATTTTAAGATGTAAACGTAGTGAGCTGCTGTTTTTATTCCTCAGTATTGTTATTAAATATATAACAAGGATATTTTTTATTATTGTTATTAAAGTCAGCGACTTTTTACTGTTTGACAATGTTCACGTATTCTAAAAGCGCATGTGTTGTTGATTTGAATAGTTTAAGCAGGGACACCGTTTGAACTGAACAGTTTTTGCCATGGAAAGTACTCCCGCATTTGTGGATAAAAAATATTTAATGTGAACTTTGATCTGTCCTTCCCTATACACTTTTACAGAAGTTTAAAGTTGATCCAGGGTTGCTGAGATGATTAATTTTAAACTTGTTCACAAGCATTTGCAACTTTTTTATTTATATTTTAGTTACAAGTACGCAAGTCATTTCATCGAATCGAAATCATACCAAAAATGAATAAAAAATGAATGTTTAAGAAAAACTAGAAATATGGCATGTACATGGTCAAAATGTTCATTAGTTGTAGGGCCAAACAAGGTCCATTCATACTCCTCTCTTGTATACGGTAGATAAAAAAAATTGGGAAATCTGCGATTTTTATATATCCCTGCATCTAGAGTTTCACGAATGCGTATAAAAAGATTATTAAGCATTTATCCGTCGTCTGTTAATTTGTTATCGTTGATCAGAAACTACAAGATATCTTATCACGCCGACAAACATGGAAGGCTGAAATTAATTGCATACTCTTACAATGTCATATGCTTAAGAGCTATAATAATAAACTCATCATTACCACTAGACTATATGTATATTCTGTTTTCAAGAGTTGTTTA